TGGCCTAGTGCAGCTCAGTGGTGTGTAATGTGCACAAGGCCACACGGTCGGGGTCGAAGCCAGTCTTCCTTCTTAGGACCATATGACTGGAAGAGAATTAAGCCAATGCAAAGGAGATTGGCAAGAGGAAAAACAAACTTTAATTATGTGCACAAAGAGACCTGTACGTAGAATAATGGAAACTGTCTTCTGGTTATTCCTCTTAGGTTGTATAGTTTCTAGAAAACAGGCAATAATTTTAGCAGGGAAATGCAACCAAAAATTTTACAATTCAAAGAAAAAAAGGAAATTTGCTGAGTTTATCGACCTAGACATCAGAAGCACCTTACAAGTGCGCACCTGGGGTGATCAGGTTGTAAAGCATTCTCTCAGCTCCTAAACTACCACGGAGAAAATATATGTCCGCTTTTAGGGAGGTAATTAACCACAAAGAATTTCATGTTGGGTCTTCTGCCTCTTAATTTCTTTCAATTCAAAAATCTCAGCCTGCCACCTAGGCGTGTTGTGGGGGTGTCTTCCCCTGGCCCCAGCAGCAGAGTGCGGTGACAGCATGGTCCTGAGTTGGCTCCCTTTGCTACTTTGATGGCTGCAATGGACATGTGCCATTTTGTTTAGAATTTAAAGGTACAGAAAGAAAATGTCTCACGCCTCTGCCCTCCAGAGGCAGCCCCTGTTGACGCATGGTTTCATGGGTTTGCTTCCGTAGCTTTGCTTAGGGAGAGTGGTGCCAGCTCCTGGGCCCAGCCCCTAGACCTGCTGGGCTGCAGATCACTGGCAGCAGGTGCTTCAGCCCCAATGAGCAGTCAGGCGCGTATTGGGGGTGCTCAGACTTGTGCCCACCTTCGTTGTCCTCTGAGCCCGAGTCACAGTCTTTTTACCCTACTTCCTCGTGCACCCAGACCTCGTGGTTTTCTTTCCTCCATTTTCTGAGGCATAGAGAGGGTTGCCAGGATGAACAGCGAGATGGCGGCAGAGCTGCTTTGTAATCCAGTCACAGACCCAAAGCCCAGAGTCGTAGCCACATTGTACATTGTTCTTTTTAAAAATTTTTCTACTACAGAGGCGATATATATAGAGATAGCTATGTAGGTATATCTCTATATATGTAGATTGAGAGGAATTGAAATTCTCTTTGTAGCTTCCAAGTAACCACCATAAACTGTTAGTTGTAAGTCTTTCCATCATCACTTTTGTTGGCATGTGTATACCTGGGGAGGCATGCGTGTGGTGTGAATGCACACTTCTGAACAAGGTCGCTGTGGCCCTGCCATGTCAGCACCTGAGTTCTGTCTTACCCTCTGTGGTGCTCATGTAATGGGCCCCTTGGCTCAGCTGTGGGACGTTTGGGCATCTCCAGGCTTCTCTTTGCTGCAGGAGGCCTCAGTGGGCCTCCTCTTCATACACAATGTGTACACTGGGATTGAATCCAGAAGGTGGAACTTCAGGGTTGATGGTGCTTGCTATCAGATCTAGATTTTCCATACTGCTTCCATACTGTTTTCTTTACCTTGGTTGGCTGTTCTCTCTCCCATCCCAGAGCAGTTCAGTTTAGTTCTCTGAGGGCTGGATGGCCTGAGGCTGCGGAGCTCAGGCTCCTGTGTCTGGCCTTTATTGGCTCCATGTGGCCTTGGTAGATGGCTAAGTGACACTAAACCTTAGTTTTTTCTCCATCGAGTTTTTTCTCGATGGTGAGAACAATAGTCTCAGCATTTGTGAGGGATAAAGAAGGTGCTACCTTGGGCAGGGCTGGCTAAGTGGCACTTGAGCAGAGTGAGGTATGTGCCCAAGAGCCCCGGCCTCGGAGTCTAGGGCCATAGAACTTGAGGACGGGGCAGCCCTGTCCAGAGCATCAGGATGAACCATCGCTACTCAAGTGCAGAGGCCTGAGCAAGGCAGCATGGAACCATGCATATTTAAAGATTTTACTCTAGAAAACTTTAAAATGATAGAGATATAAAGAGAAAAACAGCAAACCATCCCCCTACATAGAGCCCAGTTGCATATTGACTACAGGGTATTGCATCTCCACCCCTAGGGTTATGTTGAATCAAATCCTGTCTTTTCATCCCTAAGTATTTCAACCTGTGACTATAAAAGACTCTTAAGAAGGCCTAACCATAATTTTCTAGTTCTTTAATATCAGCAAATACCTATTAATGTCAGTTCACACACACACACACACACACACACACACACATATTTTTAAGATTTATTTATGCTTACAGAATTGGGGTGCTGGCCAGAGGTGCGGTGGGTGAGAGGATTCACCAGAGACAGAGTGGGAGCAGAACAAGCAGATGTGCTGAAATACACTGCTGAGGGTAGTGGGCAGGCCAGAAGAGGTCTGCCACACCCTGTGGGTCAGCTCCTTGGCGGGGGATCAAAATCATGCTGCAGTGGCTTCGGAGAGCTCCCTAATGTGGTGCTTTAACCCATTGCACCACTAGGGAGAACCCCCACATATATTTTTTTAATAATTTATCTTTCTAAATCAAGATTCAGAGAAGGTCAGTACTTATATTCAGATATGATCAATGACTGTGTCTCTTAAACTTCTCCATTCTTTACCCTTTTCCCCCTCTCCCTTTGCAAAGGAACTACAGCCCTGTAAACTGGCAGTTAGATCGAGGGTCATCATCAGATTCAGATTTAACATTTTTTAAAGCCCATGAATGTGAACCCCCAGGCCTTTCACAGGGATTTTCAAACAAGCCCTGCAACAAGTGTGGGCAGGGAAGAGATAGCAGAGAGACAGTAGAGGTTCTTCAGCAGCTGGTGACTTCCTCAGAGTCTGAGGGCTGGTTATTCCTGCTTTGTACTCTGGATGGGGCAGCAAACTTATGCATCCTCCAGGTCAGCCCTGCCAAGTACAGAAGCGAGCAGGGCCCATGTGGGGCAGGGCAGTGTCAGGGATTCTAAGGCCACCAGTGCGCCACAGAGACTGGGGCAGTTTGCCTGGACGAGCCCCATGCCAGGACCAGCCTGACAGCTCGGGCCCCACAGCTTGGACTCCTTTGAATTGTGGATAGCAGATGGTGTGCACGCTGTTGTCTTTGGGGCTGGCACCAGTTTGGCCAGTTCCTCTGCATCTTAGGCTGCTGAGGCCAGAGAGAGACGCTGGCTTACGGCCAGTAGCCTGAAGAGTGGGTGGCTGGCTGCTCATGACCTGGCCTAAGAACACGAGACTGGTCACTACTGCCTCTGCTGAAGAGTGGGACACGTGTGGGTGCGGCAGCTGTGACTAAGGATGTCACACTCGGGATTGTCACCTGGCGCATTCGACTACTCCTCACAGACATGCTGCTGGCCCTGGGGCCATCACAGTGCTGGCTGTGTTTTGGCTTTCTCAAGGGGTCATTTAAGGAGGGGTCTTTTGCTCTCTCGGAAGTTCCTAAGCTTGGCAGACCTGAGGTCCTGTCCAGAGGGAGCCCTGCTCAGCTGTTCTGTTCTGAGCACATCAGCAGAGGGGTGCAGACTGGGCTCTGGGGGGCTGGAGGAAGATCTTTGCCACGCCACACTGTTCCTTGCCTTGCTCTGCTCTGCACACCTCTAGGGAGTCATACAGAGCTCTTCCTTGCCCTGTTTGGTTTGTGTGGGTGTGAGAAAGTGCCCCCAGAGTCAGGAATTCCAGAGAACTCTGCCTGCCGGGGGTGAGTGCTGGCTCACTGCCGATCAGCCTTGTGGCACCAGGCAGGTCATCTGCCTCCGTCTGAGTTTCCTCATCTGTGAAATGGGGACAGCGTGAGCACCTGTGTTTGAGGGCTAGGAAGCATTCATGTATGGTAAGTGCTCAAGCATTTTCAATTTTTAGGGTCTTTTTCTCCTTAATATATTTTTAACAGCTAAATGTTCCATTCTGAGGTATTTTACCTATTTTTCTCTGTTGCTGTGCTTTTGGTGTCATGTGTAAAAACAGTTGCCTAATCCAAGGCCATGATTTGCTCCTGTGTTTCCTGCTGCGTGCTTTATAGTTTTATCGCTTGCATTTGCGTCTCTGACCCACTGTGAGTTAATCTGTGGATGTGATGTGAGAGAGCAGTGCAACTACCTCTGTGCACGTGATTATTTTGAAGCGACTATTCTTTCCTCTTCAGGTGTCTTGTTAAGAACACATTGCCCACAGATGTAACGTGCCCACTGCTTCTACTAGAGAATACATTCCTTTAGTAGACTGTATCGTGTTAAGGCTTCTCATCCTAACTTTACTCTATTTCCAGCCTAACATCCTGACCAGTAGCATATCTAGGTTTTGTGGACTAGGAGCTGATAGAATTGGCAGGGGCTGGTGGGGGGCTCTAAAGAGAAAAGCATCTTGCTCTGTCAGGATTTACAGAAAGGCAACCCTGTGGGCACATTGTTGGGCCTGGGAGGGAGCCGGTACTAACAGCTTTTCTCCCCAGTAAACCTGCCTTTGCCACAAGCAACCCAGCCGTGTTCAGACCCGGGCAGATAGGGAATGGTGGTCATGTTTGTGTTCTCCTCATGCCTGGACTCATGGCTTGTCACTCTGAGTTTTGCTCCTGTTACTTGGGACAGTGTCTTGTGCTTCTTCCCAGGAGAGTGCTGAGAGGTAGAGGTGCTCAGGATCATGGGCCTCAGAACCAGAATGGGGCCTTCACACCACCACCTGTCAGCTGTGTGTCTTCTGGCCTTGCTTCTCCCTCTGCCTGTGGGCACTGAGGCCTGCTTGGGGGTCTCTGTGCCACAGTGGGGTGTTTTCATTTCCTCCCAGAACTGACTTGTAGTATTGTTGTTTCTGTCATGGAGCCTGTTTTGCTGGGTTTCCGGTAAAGGATAAGTTTGGATAACTAAATAATCAGAAAGGGGGCACATAAGGAGAGAAGCACATAAAGGTTTGAGGAGAAATGGATTCAAAGTAAAGGAGAAAGAAGTGGGAGAGTGAATAGTAGGGAGTCAAATTTACCTCTGTCCCTTGGTCTCGGTTCCTGACTCTCCCTGAAGCCTTGCTCATCTGAAACCACTTCCTTGTTTTCTTTAAGGAGGAGCCTCGCAAGGTTTGCTTCACCTATGACCTGTTCTTGAACCTGGAGGGCAACCCACCTGTCAACCATCTGCGCTGTGAGAAGCTCACCTTCAACAACCCCACCATTGACTTCCGGTACAAGCTGTTGATGGCTGGAGGGGTGAGTTTGTCCCCAGCAGGTGGCCCTGCCCCTGCTCTGACTGACAGGAGGCTCAGCCACCACATTGCAGCATCATGGTTCCACCAGGCCCCCTCAGTTTGGTGGCCTCGGCTCTGAGACCCTTTGGGGTCTCTCCAGCACCTGATTGGTAACTGAGACCTATAGGAGCACAGGTGGCGCCTGGTAGAGCTGGATGGGACCCAGGTGTCCCAAGTCTGTGCTGGGGCGTTGTCAGCTGTGAATGACTAGTTGCTAGTTATTCCCATAGATCCTGGTTGGCTGTGGTTAATTATCATGTTTCTCCATGAAGGGAGTGGGGAGGAATGAGCTGGAGGCCACTGTGTCGGCATGGTGAGGTGCTGGAGCCAGCTTCTGACCAGATTGGCGAGGCTGTGCTGAGCTATGTCATATGGGCAAACAGCAGTGATTCTCAGCGGGTTCCCTGACAGTGCGTGCTGCCTGGCTCTTTTTTTCCTTATGAGGTCAGATACAGATATGAGCTACCAGAACATAGCCGTATGCAGCACGTTGTGAGGCTGGGAAACTCAAGAGTGGTAGTGGAGCAGCAAGAGCATGGAATCGGGGCTCTTGCAGAATGGGGGTGGGGTGCTGGCTGCGGGATGGCTGGTTGGTTGTAGAGGAGGAGTGCTTGAATGCAAGCTGAGCTGTGCACGCCCAGGGGGATACAGATATCAGGCCACATCCAGTGACCCAGAGTCAGGGACACCCCAAAGCCACATCCAGTGACCCAGAGTCACTGAGCATTTGCCTAGATGCCTGCAATGCAGAAACAGGGCCAACATGTGACAGAGAGAAAGAAGTGTGCGTGTGGACGTGCGCGTGTGTGCGTGTGTGCCATTTGTGTCTGTCGCAGATCCAGGGAGTTTGGTTGAGTTTCCCTGGGCTTAGGGAACTGGTCTTTCCTCCTCATTTTGATTAAGTTGTTTTTTTTTTATGAAATTAAATATGTAAAAGCATTTATTTATTGCAGCAAACTATGTTCCTAATAAAAGAGTAGTCTGTGATTTTAATCTAGTATGTGATGACTGGTGGAGTCCATTAACAGAACAGGGAGGTGCTGGGATCAGTCTACGTTTGCTGGCATTCTGGCAAGGAGGGGGTTGGGTTTCATGGTGCTCCCCAGCTCTGCAGCTCCACCTTACTCTCGTTGCCAAGTATTTTTCAAAATATGTTCCCAAGTTGTAACCCAGTGGCTCCTTTGTTACCCAAAGGCTCCATAGCCACACTTCCCCAGGAGACAGAGCTGCAGCCAGCCATCCTTCCATAGGCCTCTGAGCTCCAGGGCCCCGGGCCCTGCACAGGGAGACTTGCTTTGCTCTGCAGAGATGAAGGCTCAGTGTGCATCACCTAAACATATAAAACCTGGAGGGGCGGGGGAGGAGTAGGAGAGGTATGAGGTGGTGAGGAAGAGAGGTGGAGAGCGCAGGTCCAGCTGGCAGTTTGGAAAGGCCACCACCCTGTGAGGGAGACCAGTGGTCTCTGCCCAGTGCTTTCGCCCCCAGGGTGAGGGCTGTCAGAGTACTGGTTGACTGCTCAGGAACTCTCTGGCCCTTTGAGTCTGTGGGCGGATGGCAAAGCCAAGTTCTCTGCTCTTAGGAGTTCAGACATTTCTGGGACAGTAGCTCTGGTCCTTGTGTTAGCCACTCTGGAGCTCTGGGCATCCCCGTGGGGCTGGCATTTGCCACACAGTGGCCGATGATCCTAGCTCCCACCCGTGTTGGTGTCAGTGCTGGAAGAACTGGAGGAGGACCTCACTGTAAGTTGATGGGAACTGCTTGCTGTCCCGCCCCCTTTTCCAGCGGGTCCCTTGGAACTCAGATTCCTGTATGAGACTCAGATACTTCCTCCATGGTGACCATGGTGCTGTCCCACCTTTCTAGACAGTCAAGAGGCGTCCCTGGGGCAGGTGCCTATCCCTTAGTATTGTGTCTCATCTTCCACCTGGTTGCAGTTGGACTGCGTAGAATAAAGGCTCCTTCGTAGTCAGGCGCCTGTATTCCATGGGTGAACTCTGTCCTTTTGAAGCTCTGTGAGGAAACTGGAAGTAGATGTTTCTATACTTTACCCTTTTTAAGGGTCAGTTGTGGAGAAGAGAGTTGCAGAGAGGCACCCTCTGCCTTTTCTCTGCTGTCTGTTTCTGGCTGGGCTTTCAGTCTCTTCTCTAGCCCTGTGTGTGTCCTTGCTAGCCTCGGAGTAGGGTGGGTTTCTGAGAACTCAAAGTCACTGATTTACCTGGGCACCTGCTAGCTCCTTGGTGCCGTGAATCAGAGTGCTGTGGTCACAGGCTCTGCTCTGAATAAATCAGCCTAGGGCCCCAGTGCCTTAGAGTGGGAGTTTGGGGGAGCAGTTAGGGGAGCCCCTGAGGCTTCACTGCCTTCTGCCAATTCAGTGTCCCTGTGACCGGTCGTTACCTCAGCCTCCTCGGATGAAAGGTTTAGCTTGGCAAAGAATCCCAGGTGCCACAGGTTATTAATAGTGCTGCTTCTACTGAGCCCAACGCGCCTGTCTTTTTCTTTTCTTCTCTTCCTTGCACCTTGATTCTTTTGTTCTCTCTCATTGACACCTGGAAGATTTTCTCTGAGCTGCTAATGGCTTGCTTGCTTGTTAACTTGCAGTGTTGGTATTTTGAGAACTTGTTACAAGCCTTGTGTCGCTTTAGCAGGTGCCAGAGGAGCCGAGCTAGATCTGGACAGCACCTGCCGGGATCGCAGGCTCCTCCTCCATAGTCTTCTAACAAAGAGCAGCGCACAGCTCCATCCTCTGTAGGCTCCTGCCCGCCTGCCCGCCCACCTACAGCTTTGCTGAGTGCTGCAGCTGCCCCACGCAGCTCTCTGACCTCACTTGCTGGTCACTCCCTCATTTCAGTCAACTTCACTTGCCTGTGAGTGGCGTAATCCAGGGCCTGGCAAGATTGTACAAGTCCATCAGAAGTCTCTTACTCCACGTGGCAGCTTGTTGTGGCTGTCTGGCTGGCTTTTTGCTTTTCCAAACTGCATCTGGTTTTTCTTCAATGCAGCGTGTAGGTCTGCTTCGGCCCAGCTGCCTTCTTCTGCCTTCTGGTCTTCTCTGCGCTTCTTCTGGCTCTGGTCCTCCATCCTGAGGCCGCTCAGCCACCCCTGGACCCAGATGTCTTGGGACTCCAGCTTCTCTCTGCTCTCCACATGAGCCTGCTCTGCTCTAAGCACTTAGCACCCAGCCACTCATGGAGGAAATACCTTGGATTCTTTTGGGAAAGTGATACTCAAGCTCTCCCTCCTCCCCATCAGAAGGAAACTCAAAGGCCTCCATCCATGTTCACATTCCCACAGGTCAACTTCCTCTTGCCAGTCGGGTTTCCAGCCTACCCCCTTGCTCATTGATAACATCTGTCTCTTCTTTATCACTAGGTGATGGTAATGCCCGAAGGAGCAGAAACGGTGTCCAGGCCCAGTCCTGACTACCCCATGTTACCCACAATTCCACTCTCTGCCTTCTCTGACCCCAAGAAGAACAAACCATCCCACGGCTCCAAGGTTAGTGAGGCGGAAGGCCCAGTCACGTGGGAGCACTGGGGCCCAGTGGTGGGTCCTGGGCTCAGGGCACCCTCCTCTGCAGAGCTGGACCTTCTGTCCCTGGACTTGCTCCCTTGGCATCTTTCTTTGAGCGCTCTTGCTGCCACTTAATTTGAAGGGTTGACCCCTCCTGAGTTGCAAGGAACAGCCATGTGATGGTGAGCTTGCAGCTCTGCTCGTCTTGAGGCCAGAGAGCCTACTCTACCCCATTCTCCGTCCCACTGAGCCAGGGCTGGGCCTCACCACTCTGACCAGACCATGAGATAGTCTCATAGGGCCGGACGCTGTAGACAGTTTCTGCTGTGGTAGCCACTGCCTGCCCTCTAGGGCCTCCCTAGCACAGCCAAGATGAGGTGTTTGAGGCTTTCTTCTTCTTTGGCAGAGGCTCAAGGCAGAGAAAACATACTTGGGGAAAAGGCCAGGTGGAATGATGTAGGTGAGCAAGCTGACGTTCCCCAAGCAGAAAGATGTTTTTCTCTTAACTACGTTGAGCAGGGAGCACTGAAACCTGAACCCTTCTCTGAACTTTCCCCATGATCACCTGAGCCCCCTGGATGGTATTGTAACATTCCTGTACGCTCGTGAGCACATGTCCTCTTTCCCTGTTGCTGCCTCTGCCACTCAGCTCTCTGGGCAGCCTCTTGTCATCTTGTCACTCACCCTCCAGTTCTAGCAGCTTCTTATCTCGACGTTTTTCTTGCTTCTCTCACCTATTGAGGTTTGTGATACTGGGGTACCCCAGGTCGGACTGGTCAAGCTCTCAGCCTGTCTTCCAGTCTCACTCTTCAGCAGCATTGGAGGAGAGCCATGTCATCCAGATAAGTCTGTCTGGAGCTTTCTACCAGAACAGTAGGTCTCTGAAGTCCACAAATTCATCTGACTTAAGCCTTCTAGACTTGTCAGGCTGGAAACTTCAAGTACAGAGTACAGCTCTGGGTGTCTCCCCACACTGGCCTCTGCACCTGTCTTTCTCTGAGCCTTGGAGAAGTTAAATGGAAGAAAAGGTTTATTTGAGATCTTGGTTCCTCCTGCTCAGTCACGCACATTTTTTTCAGAAGTCTGTGCAAAAAAATAGAAGGACTAGGAAAGGCTGTTCTCTCTGTCCATGTCACTTGAAGTCACCTAGGAGCCCATGAAGAAATGCCCTCCAGGTACTAAGGATGCTGGGGCAGCCCTCAGAGCCGCTGTGCTGGGGCAGCTTCTGGCATCTCTCCATTGAAACCCCAGAAGGCTCACTTTCTGCTCCACCCCCACCCCCACCCCCCATGCCCCTGGATCAATCTCCAGCACCCGGGAGGCGCCTGCATTGGTTTCTCAGGTGTTCCACATCATGCTCTGCCATACTCCACTGAGAACCACTCTGGCTCTGCTACAGTCGGCGCTAAGCCTCATCTCGTGCACCCCTTGCCTGCATGGCCTGTGTGCGCCAGCCTCGTTCTCCAGCCAAGGGCCTTCATTGGGCACTGGCTCCCCCCATCTCAGCTGTTCCCCATTGCCCCAAGCCAGCGCCTGATGTTCAGACTACATGCCCTGCACAGAGCAGTTTTTAGCTTGGCTCCATGCAGAGCAGGAGGGGCAGGGGATGGCCAGTTGCTGGCTTGAGTCCATCAGGATCCCCCAGGTGGGGACCGTAGGAGAGTTTGACTAGCAGAATCCTAGTTGGGACCATCCTGGTTGTTCTGCTCCAGTCCAGTTGGAGGAGCGGGACCCCCTGAAGGCTAATCCTGCAAGAGTGGTTGGTCCCCGCCCATCTGCAACACCTCTGGTGCTATGCTTCCTTATTTAGCTCTGGGGTGCCCTGCTTCTCCCTGACTGAGGTCTGACTGTTCTTTCTCTAAAATTCAGCTCTTAATCATTTTAGAGTCATGGATAGCTTTGAAAGCATGACTGCAATGAGTCCTTACCCCTTGGAATATCCACATATATGCTCAAAATTTAGTTTGTGAACTGAGAGCCCTTGGTTCCAGTGCCTGTCTAAACCCCTATCCTCCCCCACCCCCCAGGTGGAGAGCAGCTACTGTGAAGGCATCTGGTGACATAAGAGGTGGGGATGGGGCACAGGGGTCCAGCTTTTCTCCAGGGAGGAGGCAGGAGCCCTGGCTGTGTGGGACAGTCCCTGAACCTTTGGCACCAATATGGGTTGTGGATTTGCAAGAAGATGGCAACCTGAGTGATCAGAGTTGGCTAAGGCTATGCCATCTGTCCCTGTGGCTCTTTGCTGGGCGGTTCTGTCATCACTGGGCCCTCAGGTGGGATATGAGAGCAGGAAATCGAGGCCTACTGCTGGGTGTTTATCTGGTTCACCTGCCCCCTTGGCACTTGGGGTGAGCTGATAAAATGGCTGCCTCAGGGAAGTCCTCAGGCACAGGCCACCCTCCAGGTCTGTTGCTTTTGGTTTCCTGGCAGAGTTTTCTTGAGAGTCTTTCTTCTCGCCACGATAGTTGTGCGCCTGTCCAGAACCCCTGGATGTATAGGGTGATGATGGGATATCAGTAGGGAAAAACCCAAAATGGATGGGTTTACAGGACACGCTGGTTGTATAGGAAGTCAGACATAAACATACAGCTAGAAATCCAGGCTGACACGTGGGCTAAGCCAGCCATGAAGTGCTGGTGTTTTCTGCTGCCCCCCTTGCTTGAGTGGTCGCAGTCTGCCAGGCCTGGCACCATCGCCCATTGAGGTAGGTGGCTTTGTCCTTCTCCAGAGGAAACACAGGTACACAGGGTTGGAGTCTCCTGGCCTGGAAGCCAGTGCCTCTCTGCCTCTGACGTCAGTGCGAGTTTCACTGTTCTGCTGATGAATGCCAGGCCTCTGCATCCTAAACCCTCTGATTTTCCATGACAGAGACCCAAGAATCTTTCATGTTTTATAAAAACTGCCTGGGTGGCTTCAGTTCTGAGAGGTCCAAGAGCTGTGTTCCATGTATCAATTAAAACCCAGCAGGACCTCAGGAGTCCACCAATAACCATGCCCATCCAAGTATGCAACAGGGCCGTGGAAACCGACCAGACTGGCAGGGTGGAGGCAACCAGGAAGGAACACCCCACAGTTGACCCCAGGATGCACGCAAGCGCCATGCTGGGACAAACCAGGGTGTGGCCTGACAGTTCACCCCACCCCAAGCAGCCTACGATTTCCCCTGGGCCCGCTGGGAAGCTTCGAGGTGTTGGAGCGGGAGTGGGTCGATGTGGCTTGCCTTTCTCGTATCTGACTCACCGTGTACTCTTCTTGAATCCCTCAGGGAATGTCAGTTCAATTCAGAGGGGAATCTTAGCCTGCAGTCGCCCGGGACCTGCTGACACTTCCTAGTAGTTTAAAGGGACAGCTCCATTTAAAACTCTCACCTGCTGCCTTACTTTTTCGCTTTATGGAAGATTTTCTCTAGCTGAGTCTGAATCAGGTGGATTATACTTTGTAGGGGTCGGGGGTGGCGGAGCAGGGCGACCCCGAGATGCCATTTAACCCTGTCTCTCCCCTCCCACCCTGGCATTTCAGGACGCCAGCAGGGAGAACAGCAAGGCCTGCAAGGCCCATAAGGCAACTAAGGAGCACCGAGAGCGGCTGCGCAAGGACTCAGAGAGCAAGGGCCCTTCCAAGGAGCCGGAGCGTGAGCAGGCCAGGAGTGCCAAGGACGCCTCTCGGAAGCTGGGCGAGGGCCGGCCGCCCAAGGAGGAGAAGGCTCCGCCACCCAAGGCTGCATTCAAGGAGCCCAAGATGGCCCTGAAGGAGACTAAACTAGAAAGCATGTCCCCAAAGGGGGGTGCCCCGCCCAAGTCTTCCAGCAAGCGGCCAGCGGCGGCCGACTCACCCAAGCCCAGCGCCAAAAAGCAGAAGAAGAGCAGCTCCAGAGGGTCCAGGAGTGCCCCTGGCACCTCGCCCCGCACCTCGTCTTCCTTCTCAGACAAAAAACCGGCCAAGGACAAGGGCAGCACCAAAGGGGAGAAAGCCAAGGCCGAGAGTGAGTCCAGGGAGATAAAAAAGCCCCCAGAGGTAGAGGAGTCCAACTCGGAGGATGAGGCCTCCTTCAAGACAGAGGTGAGGTGGCTTCCTCTCCGCTCCCTCTGCGCTCCTCCAGCTGAGCCGCCGCCTCCCCGCCGGCCCGGCAGTTTAGACAGGGAGGCTCAATCCTGCCCTGCACCCTCTTGCTTCTTAGTGCCTTGGGCCAACCTCCATGCCTGCTGAGCTCCCGTTTCTCCCTTCTGGGATAATCCAGCCTTCCTTGTGGGAGTTCTGTGGAAACGGTGCTCGGAGCTGGTGGTGCTGGTGAAGTGTGGGGGTTTGGCATCAGCGCTGTTGTATAGCCCTCACATGGGCCAGGGTCTCAGTGGCTGTTTTGGGGTCAGGGTGGTGTCATGTATTGCTTTTCCCAGCCCTAGCTACTACTGCAGGGTCAGTCTGTGAGGGAGCACACTCACTCTGCTCAGTGGGGTAGCCTTGTACTTCTTCATCCCATTTTCTGGGTCTGGAAGGGCAACAGCGACTCGCTTTCTCGCTTGGAAGAGGGCAGGTAGGTTTCTAAGTCTCATGACTTCTCCCATCATCCACTTCTGTGCACACAGCTAGGTCATGGGAATCTCACGTTGACAAGACTGGTCTTCTAAGTCTAGGCCAGAGCCCCTCTGGGAGTGTGTCCTGTCCGCGTGAGAGGCTCTTGCTCGCTCTGCAGTCGTATTTCAACTTTCTGGAGAGTGCTGTCAGAGACAGCATGAGCCACAAAGGATCCAATAGCCAGATAGTTAATGAGGTGGCCAGGCCTCACTTGAGGCCTCGCTGGCAGTGTCCTTTTTGAGCATTGTGTTTGGCATCTGGCAGTCAGAGAATGGGTGCTAAGATGGATAAGCAGATAAAAGGACTAAGAAAGAGATAATGATATGCTAACGGATAAGTGGGCTGGGGGTGGACAGAAGATTGCGTGGAATGAATGAATACCCGGGAAGAAGAAATAGGCGGACAGGTAGTTGAGAGATGGATGGTGGATGCATGAGTTGATAAGTGGGGTGGACTAATGGGTGGTTAGGTATATGACTGAGTGGACAGATAAATGCATTAGTAAGTGGGCAGGAGAGACCTGAGTGGATCCCTAGCTAGGTGCTTGGGGGGTAGATGAGCAGTGAATGCTGGGGACAGGCGGATGGGTGGGTGCATGGAGGGGTGAGTGATGGAGTCCCTCCCCTTTCTCACCCATTCCTCAAGGCCCTTTTACAATTTCCAAGTCTTCATTCTCCCTCGGAGGGAAAAGTTTTGCCTCGAGTTTTGCTATTTGAGTTCCACTGGGACTCTAAGCAGCTCCCAGAGACAGAGCTTATCAACAGCACCAGTGCTGTGAGCATGTGGCTTCCAGGGCTTGTGACCCTGTTGGAAGTGACTGACTGGAGTCAACAGTTTGCTTTGTAGGTAATAGTGTGTCGTGTTGACTTAGGGACATACATGGTTGTAAGCACATGTATTCAGTGCTTCTCATGACCAGAATGACACGGTGTCTGCCAGTGAGCCTGAAGATGACAGGAAACCTCTAAACAATTCTAAAGTGCCATCATGGCAGTCCCTCAGCTGCTGGAGGTTCCTGTGGTGCTTGGTCATGCCCCATCCATTGTCAGTGTACTCTGCCCAGCACCCAAAGGTCCTGGGCCAAGGCCCGCCCTCCTTTCTTGCTGCTGCCAGGTGAGGCTTTCTTCACCCATGGCTGATTTACCCATACTTCACTGAGGTGGTGGCCTCCCTGGCACCCTGCCACGCGGACCCGGGTGTCCACACTCACCTCCTGCTGTGATGATCTTCAAGCACCCGGTGGTTGCCATTTGGGTGGGCCAGCACCATGTCCTGAGATCAGAGTTGCTTGAGGAAGCCTGGGATTTCCTCCTGACCAAGAGCTGTGTGCCCCATGCCCGGAGTCACTGCTGAGTGATGAGCCTTAATGTCCTGAGGGCCAGGCCATGCAAAGCATGGAATCTTAGACCACCAGATGGCAACTCGATGTCATTTTCAGCCCTGGGACCTCTGGGAGCCACAGACATCTACAGAGGCAGAGGTGATCCCCTCTGGATCTGGTACTGACTGCCTCAGTCTACCCCTCCCTGAAGGCTGTGTAATGCAACACCCTTGAGGCATGGAGTCAGTTGCCTCCTTCCCCAGGCTGGTGTTTCAGAAGTGGCCAGTCGCTTCTCATCTGAATTCCCACCAAGTTCCGGGCTCCTCCAGCTGCTCCTCATGTTCCTGTTGGGCTGGGCTTGCTGAGCGGCCCAGTCAGTCCTGATCAGCCCAGTCAGTCCTGATCAGCCCAGTCAGTCCTGATCAGCCCAGTCAGTCCTGATCAGCCCAGTCAGTCCTGATCAGTCAGACCCCGGAGTGTTGGGAGCAGAGCAGGATCAGAACCTTCTTCCCCTCTACCTCTGGGCTGCCCATGTGCACTCATGGGCTTTCTGACCTGCGCTTCCCCAGGTCTTAGGGCTGAAACCACTTCTAATCCCCTTTCTCCACTCCTTGGATTTTGGTGGAAGGATGACACGTGCTTCTGAACTCATCAGGCTTCTCTGTTGGGGACAGTGCCGTTTCTCAGCCACCCTGGGACAGGTCCAGCCAGTCCTCTTGGTGGCTCCCACTTCCATCTCTGCTGACCTGAACCTGGACAGTGCCCTTGGGGCAGTTCAGGGTGGGCAGGTGGCAGTACTAGGCAAGATTGACCTTGGGGAAGTCAGGCTAGCCCGGGGTCTCCCATCACTCCTGGCTCCTGGTCTGGTTCTGCTGTTTGTGTTGGCCTCACAGCCAGACCCTTCTGTTCATGCTCGAGCCTTAGGATTCCTGTTGGAGGCATGCCTGTTAGACACTCATGAGCACCCAACAGCAGGGAATCTCTTTTACAGATGGGGAAGCTGAGACTTGAAATTAGGACTCCTTTGGCCAGTTGGTGAGAAGGCTGGGGTCAGACCCAGGATCCTGGGACCAGAGTAAGAACTCAGGTCTGCATGCTGTATCTTCTCTGACCAGGTGCACGCCAGGATCAAGCAATGCCGCTGGCTGCCTCCACCCTGCCCCCCCCCCTTCTTTAAAGGGAAGGTGCGCAAAGTGACTGGCCCATGTGCTTAAGCCGCTAAGTTCCTCCAGTTGGTGCGCGAAGGCAGAACTGGGCAGACCCTGAGAGAGGACAGGCTTGTGATTCTGAGGTGGCTGCCCTAGGATGTGCTGAACGGAAGCAGACTTCTAAGCTTTAGACTGCTCTTCTCCGCTCTGCGCATGTGCCTCTGGCAGAAACTGGCCTAGGAGCAAACGCTACCCTGTTCTGGCTCAGTCTCAGCTTCCAGGCAGGTGTCAGTGATCAGTTCCTGTTCACCAGTTAGCATCCCAGCGTCCATGGTCTTAGTTTGGGCCTTTACTGCCCCCTGGTGGCAAAGTAGGGTGCACCGCTGCAGGAAGAAGGGGTTATTTGACTGGCTGTGGGTGTAACATGGCCAGACTCCAGTCCAAGTTGTCCTCAACTCCTCTCTCTCTCACCCAGACACACATGCGTGCGTACACGTCATCACCAGAGTAGCATGTGAGATCATTTTCTCTGCATCTGAGGGCTGTGAGGAAATGGGAATCAGTCATACTGAGCAGCAACATGGGGCTGGGGTCTTGGTCTCACCGGGGCTCCCCAGCTGGTCATGTTGGACCCTGTCTGGAGTCCACCTGGTGAGAACAAAGAAGCCATGGCCGAGTGTAGCGTATGGTCAGAAGAGGACCCGCTGTATCTGTCGCTGCTGTCTGCAGGAACCCGAGAAGAAGCTCTCGCAGCATCAGCCACAGGGCAGCCTCTGGCCATGTGCTCATGCGCTCATTGCACCTGAGACCTGGCTTGGTGGAACCATAGCTCTGATAAATGGGGGCTCAGGATGCGATACTCCAGGCAGCCTGGGGTGCTGCCGCTGGTGCCGTCACCTCCATCCACCAGCTGATCTGGGGATAGCTGTTGAAAGAAGGAAATGAGAAAGCAGCTCCTGCCCTGTGAGACCCCTGCTGAATTTTATTCTCTGGGAGGAAAACAACCAAGAAGAATTGTATTATGTTTCCAAAAGTTTATTGCACATATAAGACAATATTGGTGGGGAAAAAAGAAAGGAATGAAGGTATGAAAAGGGAGAAAAAAGAAGTGATCAGAATGAAAAGCTGCTTCTGTGCATCTGGCGTCTCTGTCCCAGCCCTGTCCTCTAGCCCTGCGGCACCAGCGCCCACAGGCAGAGGAGCAACCACGGCCCAGCTGCCCTCAACCTTCCCCGGCCCCTTCCTCACGCCAAAGTGCTCTGGGTCTCCCAGAGGTTTTGATGTCCTCAGTGGGGAAAGAGAGGTTCTTTGCATTTTTGGATAATTTCCTGGGACTGGAGAGGAAGTGTACAGAGGTGCAGGGTGTGCTGCCTGGGACCCAGAAGCCAGGTCCTCGTGAACCCTCCTGTGCGCCTTGGCCTGGGGGCACTGGGTATGGCACCGCTGTGCTGTCAGGTGTGTAAGTCTCTGCTGCTGGGGGGCATTTAGTGCCCGCTTTTGCTTCTTTGCATTGAAAGATGGTTCTTTTCTTCTTTCCTCTCTGGTCCGCCACTCCTGTTGGGGTTAAGTCCGCCCAGTCAAGCCCATCCAACTCCAGCTCCAGCTCCGACTCCAGTTCGGATTCGGATTTTGAGCCATCTCAGAACCACAGTCAAGGTGCGTGATGAAAAGGGACAGGGTGGAACAGGCAGCCTCTTCTGATGGCTCACTGCTTTGCGAGCGCCATCCCCACCTCCCCACCCCTGCCTGGCGCATGGGATCCTGAATTTGTTACTGAGTCAGAGGGATTCATAAATAACTTCCCCAAGTGAGTTACTTCATGGGGGCTCACGCCGTGTGAACACCCCAAGCTGCTGCTGCTGCCACTGCCAGCGCTGCCACATTTCACTGACAACCCAAGGGCAGGGGGCGCCTGCGCGGAGGTCATGCCTGAGTTGCCCCTACCCTGGTGTGACTGCTTCCCCAGAGTAGGCCCCCAGGACCTGCATCTGTAAGTTTGTGGGCGCTCAGCGGCGGGTACTTAAAAGTGAAATCAGCATGTCAACTAACCCCATCCAGGTGGGACGTGTAGGGCTGGTGTCCGCCCTCCAGGCTCTCAGCCCTTCCCTTCAACGGCACCCTTGAGCCCGCCCAGCCCACCTTTGACTCCCACCTGGGTGGCTATCGCATGTTTGATTGGCACTCAGGCTCGAGCCACCAGCAGTCTGCCTGTCTGTCTTCTCCCCGAAGGCCACCTACGGACATGAAGCCCACTTGGCTGGCCTAGCATAGCCGAGAGCAGAGAGGCCTTCCTCGGGCACAGGTCTGGCCCTGTGTGCACAGCCTGCAGGACCCAGGCATATGAGGGCAGCAGGGGGCCATCAGCCTAGCAGACGCCAGAGGCATTTGTGGGTCCTCCCCCACTGCCTGAAATCCTTTCTCAGGGCTTGGGGGGAGCTGGGGGAGAGGAACGCAATGCAGGGAGGGTCTGGCTCAGAACTCAGAAGCCTAGTCAATCACTGAAAGGCCTGGGGGATGGGGTATGAAGCCCGCACTCTGAGTGTTCTTATCTGTGGGAAGGGAGGAGGAACCTGCTGAAGCAGTGTCACGTGACCAAGGTAATTGAGGGCTTTGTGTCCCTCTGTTGCCTTGGTAACAGGAATATAAACCAAGATGCCGTCTGTAGGGGACTGGAACTGTGTGCCTCTGGAGAAAGGGGAAGACACTGGGCCAGGAGCAGCCGAAAGGGGCTGCCGAGGGCTGGGCAGGCCTGAGTAGGGCGCAGGCTGGTGGGAAGGCTGCGTGGCTCTGGCTCTGGCTGCTCTCCTGGGCCCGGGCTGGCTCGGCCTGCGCTAGGCAGGAACTTGGATCTCAGCTTCTCTTTCGGCTTTGGCAATGGAGGGGCCCTGCAGTCCTGCCTCAGGCCAGGGGTCAGAGGCCTGTGAGCAGAGCCAGGAAGGTAGGGAGGGACAGGGAAGCCAGGGGGCTTCTTAGGAAGGGGGTGGCCTCTGGGGCATTCGTCAGAGATGGACAGCAGGCCCCACCATGCTGGAGGGACTCCTAGGTGGGCTTGTGTGGGCTGCGGCTGGGGTTGTGATCCTGAGATGGAGGACACCCCATAAGGTGCAGCAGGAGTCCTGAGCACATTTTCTCTTCTTCCCGCCCTCAGGACCGCTGCGCTCCATGGTGGAGGACCTGCAGTCTGAGGAATCTGATGAGGATGACTCTTCGTCAGGCGAGGAGGCCTCCGGCAAGACGAATGCAGGGAGGGATTCCAGGTGCCCACTGGTGGGGAATGAGTGGTGTGGGGGTGACCAGGGTCTCCCTGGCTCTGTGGGGACTCTGGGAGGTGGAACCAAGAGGACCTCGCTCTTGGGTGGGGCACAAGGAGCCATGAGCTTACAGGTGCCCTGTGCCTGGATGCTGAGGGGGTTCTGGGGATCCCGAGCTCTCTCCCAAGTAGAGGAACTGTGAAATCGAGCGGACACCAAGACTTCCCCTCACAGTCGGCCTGAGTGGCATTTTTGCTGCCATCACTGGGAGGTGTGGCTGCCTGGCAGGGTTGGGCAGGTATTCAGGGAGAGAAGTACAGCACCGTCCCGGCAGGGGGTGGCCAGGTGATCCTCGTGTGTGGTGGAAGTGGGTAGTAGGCTCTTCTGCCCTCGGACCAGGGGACTGCAACCGCTCCCTCCAGTCCTTTCTCACGTGGGTAAGGGCAGGGGCTGAGAGCAGACTAGAACTTAGCCTAGGACCTGCAGACACCCAGAGTGGAGAGCCACTGTGGCCTCCCACCGACGTGGAGAAAGTGGCTTCTGCCCTTGCCCCAAGCATGGCGAGCCACGGAACCTCCTCTGGACTGCCCAGAGCCTCAGAGCTAGTGTACCTCAGGGAGAGCTGAGGCTCTGCCTGGGGCCGACAACCAAGGTCATTGGTGCTTTTAGAATGGGAAGTATGGGCAGGGGCCAGGTCTAGCCCCTCCGCACCCTGCCATGAGTTGCAGGCCTCAGGGGCTCTTTTTAAGACCAGCTGGGTCAGTGGGTCTGTGCCCAGCCAGGTGCGGGAAGCCGGTGGGTTGCTGGTAGGCATTCCATGTGATGAAACCGCCTTCCCAAGGCCTCTGGCTGAGAGAGTCGTCTGGTTTTCCACACATGCAGTGGTTCAGGCGAGGAAGGTGGAACTTAGTAGACAAATAAGGGGGACCTCATGTCTCCTGGGACAGAGTTAAGTGACCCCTGCCTTGTTTGGTGCAGGTGACATCCAGTGTGACTTCTGCTGGGTTTTAGGAGCAGGGGTCTGAGCAGGCCTGATGGACATGCCCTATACTCGCGTGTCCTTAGCACAGAGGAGCACCTTCCTTGGGGCAGATTGGAAGGTGGGTGGAGCTCCTCGATGCCGGTGCACATTCATTAGCAGGGCAAGGGTACACGGACGGTGACACTGGAGCTGAGGCCAGGGTGTCCAGCGGCTCCCAGCTGGCCCCAGCTGCTGCCTGCTGGTCCCAGGAAAAGCGAGAAATGAGGGGCTTGCGGGGCAACAAGGCCACGCCACGTCCTTGTGCTGACAAGCAGGCGTTGCCTGGGCAACAAGCAGCAGAGCGCCTGCCTTTCCTCTGAGCGAGCTGGGGAGTCAGGAGAGCCGAGCTCTCAGCCTTTGAGCAGAAAGAGGGGTTTACCTAGTGGATGGACCACCGGACTGTGGGGAAGATGAGGTGAGCAGGAGGGCCACTGTCCGTGGCCAGTCTACGAGGGGACACTGTTGAGTGGAGGCCTATTCGAGGCAGGCGGAGGCAGGGACAGGAAGAATTTACTGTGTCTGAAGTATGCGGTGCAGGAATAGTTATCGGGGCTCCCTCTTACTGGAGGGACTGGGGGTCCCAAACAGAGACTGCCCAGGGAGCTGGGGATGACTAGGGAAACAATGGGGAGGGCAGGGCCATTCTGAGCCAGGGAGGGTTTGGGGGGCTGGGAAAGATTTGCTTCCTCTTGTGTTCTCCTCCCTCCTGGCTGCGGAGAGCCTGGAAACAACTAAAAGGCATCAGTTCCTTTTGTCCAGACTGAGATGGAGAGAAATAGGACCATGCTCACTGGAGCTTTTCGGTTTCCAGTTTGCTGGGACTTTGCACATTGAGTAGTCAAGTGCTTCCCTCCTGTGACAGTAGTGGACATTTGTCACTGAGCTGGCCCCAGCCCTGCCTGAAGCACTTTTCAGGAGCTTCCATTTATGGATAAGGAAATTGAGGTAGAGACTGAGGGACTTGCCTGGTCCCTCTCCCCGCCCCCATGAACTGCCACCAGACACACCCCATGCAGGGCCCATCAGATGGAATGGGACCCTGGGGTCACCCATGGAAAAAAGCCTGTGGCCAGACCCACATGCACCTGGCTCCAGGGAAAGCTGCTGCTTGGGCTCTTGTGAGTGAGTGAACTTAGGGGTCTAAGCAACAGGACCAAGTTCCAGGTGCACAACCCTCAAAGCCCAGGTTGGCTCATGGTGGCGTCACATCCTGGTGCTCTGACCCTGACAGATCCGCGCAAGGGTGACTGGAGCCCTGCCTGGGTCCCTAGGGACTTGCGGGTTTGAACTGCTGCTCTTTGGGGGTCTTTGCCCTTTGAAGGTGTCTCAGACTCATTGTTTTGTTTGTTTTGTTCTAAGTCATCAGTAGCCTCCTGCAGCCAAGGGAAGTTGGTCTCCCAAGTCTGGGGCAGCACTTGGCGGCCACAGCCCAGAACATGGGTTGCATGCCTGACCCGCAGGGAGGGGCAGAGCCTTGCTGGGGCAAGTCTGTCCTGAGCGGTTCTGTGGGTGGGCACTGCCCTCGGGGGCCCGCCAGGCCCTGGCGCATGCTGGCGGGGTGCACAGCTGCCTTATCCCATGATCAGGTTGAGCTTCAGTGACAGCGAGAGTGATAACAGTGCTGATTCCTGCTTGCCCAGCCGAGAACCCCCTCCCCCCCAAAAGCCACCTCCACCCAACAGCAAGGTAAGCATGGCGGTGTCCTGGCAGCTTCTGCCCAGAAGGGGTCCTCTGGTGGTCAGCTCTCAGCCCTGATTGGATGGCCTGGAGGTTGGCCATGGGCTAGACTTTTGCCAGTCCTGGCCCTGGGGTTTCCTGAGGGTCTAAAGCTGAGGGTGGTGAGTGGAGAGGGAGGCTAGGGACACCCCCAGGCCCCAGAAGTATGTCTCCTCCCTGGAATGTACTGTCCTTGGAGGTGACTGGGGAGATGGGGACTGGGAGTGCGGGGCCTTGGCGAGCGCTCAGACATACCTGGGTCTGCCTGCAGGCGTCAGGCCGGAGGAGCCCGGAGTCCTGCAGCAAGCCCGAGAAGATCCTCAAGAAAGGCACCTACGACAAGGTGGTGGGCACAGGCAGGGCAGGTGGTGGGAGGGGGCCTCAGACTCTCCAGTGCCCCCAGACGGGGTGGGCTTCTTGGAGTAGGCTGCCATGACCCAGGCAGGCCATATTGAGGGGCTGGTCCTGGAAGCATCTGTCACCCTCTGTCCTGGGCTGGCAGCGAGAGGAAGCTCAGCCGCCCCCTGAACACCCGTCTGCCACCCCCAGGCCTACACAGATGAGCTGGTGGAGCTGCACCGGAGGCTGATGGCTCTGCGGGAGCGCAACGTGCTGCAGCAGGTACTGGGCGGAGCCCCGCACTGTGCATGCCCGGCTCAGGGCACCCGTAGCCGAGTCCCCGGGGGGAGGTGCCCGTGAGGACCCTCTTGCTGCAACTGCAGGGAGCCTCTTCCTCCTTTCTCGGGGGGTCCCCGTGTGGGGACGAGGGTGCTCCCAGCCTGCCTCCTGTCCCTGAAGCACCCTGCCACTGCCTTCCAGATTGTCAACCTGATTGAGGAGACCGGTCACTTCAACGTAACTAACACCACCTTCGACTTTGACCTCTTCTCCCTGGACGAGACCACCGTGCGCAAGCTGCAGAGCTACCTGGAAGCAGTGGCCACATGACCCTGGGCCGGGTGCCGGACCCCTGTTGCCAGGGTCCTGGGAGGCCGTGTTCGGGCCCCGCCCTCCTTCCTCTCTCAACTCGCCTGCCCGCAGCACTGCCTTAGTGACCGCCCTGTCCTTGGCCCACACGGCCAGCTGCACTTTTCCTGTTGGCTCCCGACCCACCCTCCCCACCACCTCATTGTCGGGAGCCCTGGGCCAAGGGGGGGCCAAGCCGGCGCTGCTGCTCTCTGCCACTCAGGTGCCATCACCTGGCCCCCCTGGGACGGTGGCTTGTGTGTTGCAGGCAGCGCCTGGTGGCGAGGGCCTTCTTGCCTGGCCTTGGACGTCTCCCTCCGCCCCTAGCCCTGCTCCCTAGCCGGCGTGTGGCACAGGTTCGCCGCCGGTCTTCTGAGCAGACAGGCACCACCTCCAGCCTCTTCAAACGGTCCAGAACATAGCCCTGCACCCCAGGACCTCAGAGGGCTCCGGCGTGTGTCTGCAGCCAGCTGTGCCAGGCCTGGCCTGGCCTGGTTCTTGTGGAAGCAGGACCTGTCCCCTCTGTCGGCGCTCACTGTGCTGGGGCTCCATGCTGTATAGTTCTCTCTATATTATATATATATGTATGCACTGTAGGTACCAGGGAGGTTTCCGGGTGTGCGTTTCCGTGGCAGCAATGCACGTGGGGGGTGGGGGGTGCGGCGGGACTTTTAGGTTAAGATGTCTCCACTGGTCTTGTTAGGCTGGAGCCCAGCTGGGCCAACTGGGGGTTCCTGCTGGCTCTGCAGGCTCGGGGAGGGTTCTCCCTCTGTGGTTCCCAGGGCGCCTCGTCCTCCCGGGCTCGGAGGGCACAGCTTCAGCCTATGAACACTACAGAGGGCAGCAGGGCCCCAGGCGCTGCCGGGCACCGGGCCAGCTGGTAGCCGTCCCGGAGCGGACTCCCGGGCCCCAGCGGGGTCGTCGTCCTCCACCTTCCACAGGAGCCACTCCCCTCCCCTTGTCGGTTGAGTCTTCGAACTTTGAAAATATGAGCTTTTGCCAAATAAGACGGGATCATTTGTGGAGTTTTTCGGGGCGCTCAGAGCCAACCCCTTGTGCCTGGGCCCCGGCCAGCAGCAGGCCTGACTCGGTTGGGTGACCGGACCCTCCCAGGCACGCTGTCTAGTTTTGGCCTGGCTCCCACCTGTGGTTCACAGGTTCAGAGCCCAGAGACTTAACTCCTCGCGCGCCTGAGAGTCTCCAGGGCTGCGCCGCCTCCTCTTCCTCCCGCCTGCCTGCCCTTCTGGGGCCAGAGCGCCGTGTGGAGTCAGCCCCCTTTGGATGGGTTCCTGGGAACTCGGGGCCTGTCTGCTCAGCCCCTGTCCTCCCAAACCTAGACTCAAGGCGTTCCGGTCCCCTCCAGCCCCCGGCTTTTGCCCGGAAGGAGATGTGGGAAACAGGACTGGGAGCCCTGAGGTGGACTTACCTTCTCCAGCCGTCGGTCGACCTCCGCCTCCCCCGAGTTGATGAGTTCCAACATGGGGAGCACCAACTCCAATTCCTTGTGGTTCCCGACTCGTGTCCCTGCTGCAGTTCTGTCTGTGTGGCAGAACCCGAACACTCCCTGGGGAGCCCCATCTCCAAGACTTCCCAAGCACCAGCCTTCCTGTGAGATCCCCAGGACCCTCGGGAAGGCTTGAGAACTTTCAGAGGAAACTGCTGTGACTCCTCAACCATCTGCGTTGATTCTCTCCTGACCCCACTTCCTTGAGGTTATTAGGAAGCGGGCAGGCCGACGTGACAGACTCGTGCTGTCACTGTCCGCTTCCCCAGGCAGGCCAACAATACTCCAAAGTGGGGCTCCTTTCTTCTCTGGAAACTCTAAGACATTGGACAGAAGGAACTGACCTGGCGCGGGCCCAGAGGCCACCAAGGGGTCTCTGGCAGAGCCTCGGCCCGGGGCGCTGGTGTTTCTCCTTCACGAGGATCTCCTGGGAAGGGCCACAGGTCCTCCTGAGCTCCACGCAGCAGCCTGGACAGCCCTCTGGATCAAGGATCCCCGGAGGCAGCTGCAGCAAGGCCAGGCCGTCCAGCCTGCTCAGTGGCAGCTGCTTTCTCGCCATTCGGCTGTTTCCAGGGCCTTCAGAAACACCCACCCGTTTCTCAGTTACCTCTGGCCAGAAGGCCCCAGCACTGTCCTCTGGAGCTGCTCTGGGCCCAGTGTTGGCCCCCTGACCACCTCATCAATATGCCAGGTAGCCGGGCCCCCCACTGCAGCATTTGCAGCTGCTCCCCCACACCTCACCCCGGCTGCCCGGCAGCCGGGCCAGCGAGGGCTTTGGGGACACTTCCATAGGAAGGGACCGGCACTTTGTGATTGCCGTGTGTTTAGTGTTAAGCCCCTGCCCCCAGTGCAAATCCCTGTGTTTTGCTATCTCCTGAACAAAATGTAAACCAACACCTGAAAGCAAAGGTATTGAATACCTTTCTCACCCACAAGGGTTTTTACAAAGAATGTGTCTCACTAGGAACTAGGACACTCACTGGCCCGAGACCAACTCCTGGATAAAAGGAATAAGGAGAATCGTGTTTGTAATAAGTTACAGGATTGTTTTTGTCCTGGATTTTAAACTTTTTTGTTAAATTGTGAAATTATGGAGGAGTTTTATAGAAAAAAAAGTGAAATAAAGTCAGATGGGAAAGCAGACCTGTGTATCACCTCCTGTGCTGCTTCCTCGTGTCGTGGGGCTTGGGTGAAGGCACACAGTGGGGTCTTGCCCCCTCTTGTCCCAGTGCTTCCAGATGACGAGGAAGAGGAGAGAAGACTGGGAACAAGACTGGTGTGCAGCGATCGTGTGCGGACAGGGAAGGGGAGCAAGGTTGGCATCCTAGAGGAATAGAGAAGGTACCGCTAGGAGTCTGATGAGCTGGTGGGGGTGGTTTTAGCTTCCACTTTGGACGGCATGTTCTTTCTGTGGAAGCAGATGGCGAAGTTTGGGTTGAAAAGCAAGCCTATTTTCACAAGATGGGTGAGTGGATGGGAGGGAGGAAGGAAGGGCAGATGGAATAAAGACAGGTGGAGGGATGGATGGATGGACAGATAGGTGGATGGATGAATGGGTGGAGGGTAGGTGCGTGGATGGGCAGTGGCATGATAGAGGCTAGTAGGAAGAAGTGGGCAAAGACATCTTGACAGGAGTTGGGGTACCCATCTTCCAGTTTGTCCAGTTTCTGCCTGAAGTGGCAGAATTGCGAACCCCAAGGAAATAGCTCTTGCAGACCCTGTTACGCATACCTGTCCACTTGGTGCCTCCCGCCTCCCCAGACAAACACACGTTCCGACCCTGAATAGTCAAGCCAACACCCTCCTGGCTTCCCTTCCTGCTACACCTGCAGTTTACTGGTCTCGTTTTCGTCAGTCAGCAACAGCGGGGACGGCAGCTGGCCACAGCAGGTTACTCAGGAGAGCTCCCTCTCCCCGCTGGTAACTAAAGGTGCCATTCCAGCATGGGGCAGTGGCTCCCTGGCCATGTCTTTCAGAGTAAAGCTGCAGGCTTTGGGGGGTTGTTTCCGACCTGAACACCTGAAGTAGGCACCGAGTGAGCAAGGGTCCATGGCTGTACCCATCATGCAATGTGAAGATGCTTACATGTAAAAATAAAATAGGGCTTCCTACCAGGACTCACTGTGCTATGAGACTTCACACGAACACTTCACAGGTGCTCCATGAGGTAGGAACTGTCAGCATCCCCAGCAAGATGGAGAAACAGCAGGTCTCCTCCATGGGGCGTGGTCTCAGGCCCTTCCCTTCCTTGGACACGCCTCAGGGTGACACAAACAGTTGGGTGTCCCGCACATCCTCAGCTGGACAAGTGCATCAAACCTTCCGTCTCTTAAAAAATGCGTATTTTTCAAAGTAAAAGCCCAGTTTTTTATTATTTCTCCAGAGCCTTCCATATGAATCCCCGACCCACCTTGGCTCTGTTGGTGCTTTGAGGCAACTCCTCACCAGGGGAGGGCTCTCCTGGGCCTGGCATCCCTGACCTCTCTCCACCCACCGCCTCGTTGTGACAGCCCAAAGGTTTTCCCACATTGCCCAGTGACCTCTGGGTTGGGCCGGGGTGGGGGTGAGAACCACTGCTTTAGTGCAACCATTTTTATTATTCTTACACTTAACTAAAAGGCTCCCCAGGGAGGAGCGTTTCAGTTACAAGTGGGCCCATCGCAGAGCAGTTCCCTCCCCTCTGGACGGGACTCCTCATCAGCTCCAGAGGAAGGGCAGGGGCCACAGACCCTCCCGCAGGGAAGGAAGTCCACGCGGCCTTCTTGACAGGGTCTTCGCTGTTACACTCCATCATTGCTGTAAAAGCTTTTGATCTCAGCTTGGTACATCTTGGCCACCACGGCCCTCTTCAATTTCGTGTTTGGCCCTGTAACAAAGTCAGTTTCAGGGTGACAGCTTCCCACCATCCCTCCAGGGCCCCTAGTCACCACAAAACGTGGTATCCATGGACAGAGTTTATTTCGAAGATGCAGAGGGATGAGCGGCTGTACACCAGCAGGAGCTCGGAGGACCCCAATAAGGCACACCAGGCCCGTCCCAAGCTGCCCCAAGAATCCCACCCCTGCACACAGGCCGTCTCAGTGGACAGGTGCCACTGAGCACACAGGAGGTGCTGGTTAAAGGCCAGGAGGCCCCACCTGGAAGTGGCACAAGCCACCAGCCAGGGCCCCTCCCCAGGCCCGTCCACTCACCCAGCTCCCCGCCAGAAACGGAGAAGTCCATGTCTAGGAGAGCCCACTTCATGATCTTGGTGCTGTCTGAGGTGGCCTCTGCATTGGCAGCATCTATGCCCTGGCTGATGAAGTTCATGACCACGGGGTCCCTGTTGTAGACGATGTCCGACAGCCTGGTGGACTGGCTCTTGAGCTGCCGGCAGACAGCCACGACCTCACTGGTCAGCGCGTCGCGGGGCTCCCCCGTGTCTGTGTTGAGCTGGCACTGTTGTTGGGGGATGAGCAGTCAGGCAGGTCCAAACCACCCCACACCCTCCTGTAGCACCCAAGCCCAGCTGCCCACAGCACTCTCAGCCCAGTGGCAGGAGGCGGGCTGTGTAGATAAAAAAATTCACTTGACCAGGGATATGCCTGCCCAGTGCTTCTGCTGCCTGTCTGGGGCCAGACCTCAGATCCAGCCCCCATTTCCACTGGTCAAGACCAGGGCCCACATGGCCTCGAACAGGAGGGAGGACTGGTCCCTCTACCCAGAGTGTGGTGGAGATGTGTCCCCCAAGAGCACAGTGGTCACCAGGGAACTGCTGCTGTGGTGGGGCTCCCTTCAGGCCTACAGGCTGTATCTCAGCATGATGAGGCCCCTGCACCAGGACACAGTGACGCCCCAGACACAGCACTCCGGAGCTGGTGATGAGTGGCCCACCTCATCTTCTCAACCCAGGTTCCCCCCCAGCCAACATGGAGACCCCCTTCCAGCCGACCTCCCAGATTGCCATGAGACTCAAAGACAGACCCCGAGGTACCTTCAGTGTGAGCAGGGCACACAGGTAGGGGGCTTCCTGGCCCACCAGCATGACATATCGAACAATGGGAACGTACCGCTTCACCCGCTCCTCAATGGGGGCTGGGTTGATCTTCTCGCCTGAACTGAGGGTGATGATATCTGCATGGGGTAAGGGACCGTGGTGTTTCTGAAAAGCCATGGCAAGTCTGCCCTTGTGGAGGCCTGGGGTGTGTCACCCTCAGATGGCTCCCCCTGCTACAATGGAGCCCATGGCTAACCTGCTGCCTGGAACACCAGAGATGGCGCCCAAGCACAGAACCTGCACTACTGTCCAGGGGGGGCCCCAGGAAGAAGGCAGAAGGCAGCTCTCACCTCTGTCGCACTCACCCCTGGCATTGCCCAAAATGTAGAGGAATTCCTCAGTGTCCAAGAAGCCAAAGTCACTTGTGTACATCCACCCTTGGAGGTTAATCTTCCGTTGGGTGTTTCCCTCATCATTGAGGTACCCCATGAAGACATTGCGGCCCCAAATGTGGATGTCCCCGACGCCGTCTTTACTTTTCTGAATCTTGGTGTGGGTGCCAGGAAGAGCCTTCCCACAACTGGGGGGCAGGGGACAGGGAGGAGGGCATTAGACACCCCCTGTTCACCACTGCTCCCCGCCTCCACACAACTGTTCAACCTCTAGGGCTTCTCTGTTTCATCCAAGCACAGGGGACCCTCGAGGAGGAGGGGCCTGGCTGGGTCCCCACACAAAACCAACATGATAGAGCACATGGACTTGCACACCGAGTCCTGGCCATTGTGAACCCACAGATTAGCACGGGACAAGACACCTCTGGGCTGGACCTGGTGGCGCTGACCATCTCTGTGTATGAGAGAACAGGGCATACAACCCAGACAAGATCGAGAGATCTTACCACCTCTCCCCCCCCCCACCCGCCCCATGCTTATCTCCTTGCACACAGAGTCGGCCCCATGACTCTGGAAGCTTGAGGCTCCTACCCAGAGCCCCCAACATGAATCTTCACTCAACTTTCCACCATGCTGCCTGGAGACTCAGGCAAGGCCTCAGAGCTGGGAGTCACCCTGCTTGTACCGTTCGCGGTCAGTCTCAATAGGGCTCCCAGGTCAAGTCCAAGGTGCCTGGTTGAATTTGATTCCAAGCAAATTTTTATTTTAGTATCAGTATGTCCCACATGTTCAAAGGATAAACTTGTGTTTTTGTTGTTATTGTTAAAGTCGTCTACTTGAGATTCTCATTTCCCTGGCTGTCCTTGTTTTTTTATTTGCTAGACTGGCCACCCCACTCCTAAGCGGGGCCATGTTTTCCATCTTGCTCTCCCTTGTGCCTCTGCTTCAAAGGAAGCCAGCTGCCACGTTGGGGGGGTGTCGCAGCCACGAGGGGGCCTGTGGCATGGAGCCCGTGTCTCCCACTGACAGCCACCAGGAACCGAGGCTGCGGCTTGGGAGTAGCGCCCTGAACCCCTGCTGTGCAGCTGCACAAGGAGCCCTGATGGACAACGTGGGGCTCACCCCCAGAGATAATGAATGTTGGTCATTCTAAGCTAGCAAATTTGAGGGGTGCATTTTACATAGCATGAGAGCTGTGTCACGAGACTGGGCCAGGGTGTCACAGATAATCAGTCATTAGTAAAAACAATGGTTTGCAAACTAAAAGCCCAAGCAGAGGGGCTTGGCCCGTCCACACTGGTTCTCTTACCTCCACTCATCTGGATGCTCCTTTTGTGATGGGGACAACAGCGGGGTGACAGCAAGCACACAAGCCCCCCACCTGCCCACTCTAACCGAAGGGGCTTGGGGTCCACCCCGGCCATTCTCCGAGCCACCCACTCTCTGCCAGGACCCACCTCAGCAGTTGGAAGTCCTTCTGGGTGGAGAGCGAGTGGACCCCCGTGCTCTCAGACATGCCATAGAGCTGGAAGATGGGCATGTTGAGGCTGAGGAAGAAGTCCAGGGTGGGCCCGGGCAGCCCCAGCCCCATGTTGAACAGCTGCCGGCAGTGGTGCAGGCCCAGGGAACTCCTGGCCTGGTCAAAGCTCAGCTTCTTGGCCAGGTTAAAGGTCAGCTGCCTGAACAGGCGCAAGCACATCTGCGGGTGTACCTGCCTTGAGAAGTGGACACAGGAGCAGAGCCGGGCCTCAGGACCCCCCTAGGCTGCTGTGCCCCTGCCCGCCAGGGCAGCCAGTGCCCTGCCTCACTTGAGTATATGTCTCTTGGCGGTCCTGAGTCCCAGCTGCATGGCCCACTGGTTGATCTTCTTCCGGAACGGGGTGGAGGAGAGTTGGCTCGTCTTCAGGTGGTCCAGCAGCCGGTCCCAGACCCATGGGACGCCATGGAATGAGGTGGGCTTCACTTCCCGCAGAGTGTCCAGCAGGGAGCCCTGTGTATGCCAGGCCCACCATCCTCAGCAACTCATGGGACAGGTGGGCCGCAGCACCACCTCCCCAGGGCCGGGCTTTGACCCCTTCCCTCCTGACAAGACTAGAGAAGAGTCCTGTGAGTCCTGGGAAGAGCAAAGGGAGCACCCACCCTCCACGGGGGCAGGGGACTGGCCACTCCACCCACGTGCGCCCCTGCTCACCAGGGGATCATGTGAGCTTCAGCCCTGCCTGCAGAGGGGTGGTGTCCAGCCTCTCCCTAGATGCTGAGTGGACCAGAAGTGGGTGGGAGTAAAGGAAGCAGATGGACAGAGGACACAATGGAGAAACACAGACACAGGTGCAGAGACACTGAGACACACAGAGACAGAGGCACAGCAGAGAGACAGGGAAAGAAGAGGCAGACCGTGAGAGCAAAGGAAACAGAGAGAGACAGGAGAGAAAAGGAGCGGGGGCGAGAAAGAGTAGGAGGATACAGGGAGGGGAGAGGCAAACCCTGGCTTTGCCATGATTTTCAAAGCTTCTCAGTCACCAAGAAGGATTCGCAGTGAGCACAGTCCCAGCATTATAAGGAACGTGGGAGGCTGCGAGGTGTGGCCGCGAGGGAGCCTCCCCACAACGGCACAGCAGCTGTCCTTGGGAGGACCGCGGGCAAACTCCACCCCCGGCCTTTGCAGGTTTTCACATTTTTTAAATGAATGGTTTCTAAGAACTTCAAGAACTCTATTTCAAAAATTCAATTTTCTGTTACCATAGAGTTTTGCATTTTTCAGGAAAATTTCTGCAGTTCACTCTGTCCCTAAGCACCTACTTGTTTAGCCTGTTTTGCCTCTTGGGCCAGGAAGCCCACAGAAGTTCGGGGTGGGGGGTGAGAGGGAGGGGTCGTGACTCCTGGGAAATTCTATCAGTGATGTTCATCACTTTGTCGTATTTCTTCCTGTCTTGACGGGTAACCGTGATCTTCTGACTTCAGAGCTGAACCATGACTGCGGGTCCCAAGGGCACAGCACAGCCACATGCAGAGACCTATCCGTGGCCATCCCAGCCCACCGCCCCGCACGCCCGCACGCACAGTTAGCAGCCGGCCCCACCTTAGGGAACTTTCATCTTCCCCAACTGGAGCTCTGTCCCCATTACACACGAGCCCCGCCCCTCGCCAGCCCCTGGCACCCCCCACCCACTTCCTGTCTGTGGCTGTGGCTGGGGCCCTCCGCTGAGTGGGTCACCCAGGATTTGTCCTTGTGTCTGGCTTATTTCACTGAGTGTCAAGGTCCGTGCACGCTGTGGCTGGGTAAGATGTCCTACCTCCCTGGGGCTGAAGACGCCCCACTGTCTGGCGGGACCGCATCGTGCACCCCTCGTGCCCTGAGGCTGCGTGGGGGTTGTTTCTAGCACGTACTTGTCATCACCCAACGCTGTTCCCTGTGCGGGCAGATTCCACCCTCTGATAGGGTGGGATTGTGCCTCCATTCCCCGACAGCCACATTCTGCTTCCCGCTCTTCACAAATGGGGAAACTGAGGCCCAGCAAGGACAAGGACTGGGATAGGACAGCCAGTGGGGCACAGATCAAAGTGTCCAGTCTGGGCTGAGCTCCCCTCCCCCGCTCAGGGCACCCCTTACCGGCCGCCCTCCCCAACCTCAGTGCCTCTTGCACTGGAGTCTGGGAGCTCTGCTTACCCTTAGAGCATCTGGCTGAGCAAAATAGAGTGCCCCAGCCACGGAGATGGAGATCCACATGTCAAAGATCTGGGCCCCCATGTAGCTGAGAGGGAGGTAGCTCACCAGGACCTCCTGCTCCTCGGGGGGGCACTTATAGGACAGGCTCTGGACAGTGGCAGCCGTGGTCCAGGTGATCTGCAAGGCATCTGAGCTGTCACCTGGGGGCCTTTCTGTCTTAACCCCAAGGAGAGCTCTGTCATCCAGAGGAGCTGGACCCGGGACAATGAAGCCACCTCCTTGCCCTCCCCCACGTGGCACCTCAGGGACTCACGTTGTCATGGCTGATCATGATGGCCTTCGGGGGGCCCGTGGTCAGCATGTTGTAGAACACGGCACAACACTGGTTGGGCTTCTGGGAGTCGATGATCCGGTCCAGGGTGTCATCCGAGATGCTGTCCGCCAGATCCAAGAACTCTTTCCACTGTGCAGGGGTGGGGCTGAGTAGGCAAGGGACCCCAGCACCTTCTGTGGCACCCTAGAGCCAGGCACTTCCTCCCTGTGGCCCACGGCTCCCCACTCTCCCCTCTCGGCGAGGACTCACAGAATACAGGTTCTCCAGCGGGCTCCGAATCTCATCCTTGTACTGGACAATGGCTTTGAGGCACTTCAAGTAGCCCTGTATCTGTCAGATATCCCAGCGCTAAGTGCTGAGGACACAGAGCACCAAGCCCCACCCTCAGCACTTCCTCGAGGCTCCAGTCTCCTTTTCACTGTGGTGGAACACTCACAAATGTGCCATTTTAATCATCTCGACGTGGCCTTTAGTGCACTCATGATGTCATGCAACTGTCAGCACTATCTAGCCCCAGAACATTCCAATGGAATGTTCAGAACATTCCCAAAGGGAAACCCTGTCCCAATTAGCACTCATTCCCATTCCCACCCCACACCCCAGTCTGTCCCCATGGCTCTGCCTGTCCTGGACATGTCTCTTCAGTGGACTCACTCCCTGGACTCACTCCTTGTGTGGCCGGCTTCTCTCCCTGAGCATCATGTGTCCACGTCGTGGACCATGTTTCCAAGGTCACCCACCCTCATGGCATCATGGGTCAGCACCAAATAACAGATCGTCATCTGCTTATCCAGTTGCCCATGACTATAGTGAATAATGTTGCCCTGAACGTGAGAAGAAAAACATAGCTTTTTTTTTTGGGGGGGGGGTGTATATCCAGAAGTGAGGGTGCTAGATCATGGACATTCTGTTTTAATTTTTTGAGGAACTGCCATACTATTTGCTAGAGAAATCGAAACGCCCTTTTTATGTCCCAAGAGGGCAGGTGTCTAGGATTTATTGAGGAGTCATTTCTATGCAGTAAAAGTCACCTTGTAGGTAGGGAGTTCTCTGGGCCTCAACAAACATGGGCAGTCCTGCAGCCTTTCAGCTGACGAGGGGTCACATCTGCGACAGGGCCCCGAGACTGCCCCCATGACCCCGGCATGGGGCACTGCAGCTGCTCCTTCCAGTCACACTCTAGTGTTTTCAGAACAATGGAATCACCTCATGACGTGTTTCTCAGAACAGACCCCCCCATTGTGAAGCTCTGGAGCCACTGTGGCGTGACCTTAGTCAAGACACAGACGCTCTACATCACCCCACGAGTTCTTGCCAGGCCCTTCTGCTGCCAAGCCCCTCCTCCCGGCCTGGCAGCCCTGACGTGATCCCGTCCCATGGATTGGCATTGTCCAGGGCTTTGTCTATCTGGAATCACACAGAACGAAGCTCTCCACATGTGGCTTCTTTCATCCAGCATGGGTGAGGTGCAGTCACATCATCTCAGGCCTCAGGACTCCAATCCTCTCTTGTTGGGTGGGATGGATGAGCCACTGTTCACCCAAACTGGAGTAAACCCCTGGCTTCCAGATGTCCGAGGGGTTCTGGTTCTCAGCAATCATGAGCTACTGTGGACATTCACACAGAGGTGTGACAGCAGGCCTCACTTCTCTTGGCACACACCCCGGTGGGAGGCTGGACCACATACTGGTGATCCGAGAACTGTCTAAGAAGCTGCCATGTTTTCCAGGGATCGCGCCATCCTGCTTTCCCGTTGAAGGAGAACTCCAGTAGCCGCATGTCCGCACCAGCAAGTGGTATTGCGTGATTTAAAATTTGAGTCGGTGGAAAAGCAGAAGACCCAGAGCGAATATGGGGAGTCATGACCCCCTCCCTATGTTCACCTCCGTCCCAGACGCCCTTGAGTCAGTGGGCAACGCTCAGGTGGCAGGAACTGTCCCCGGTACCAGCCGGGAAGCACAGTTCCTGCTGTGGGGAGCACTGGGTGGTGGCATTGGACTCCATTTCTTTATTTTTCCCCCCATCTACCGTTCATGAATGTGTCACAAATTTACTGGCTCTGTTTCTAAGCTGCACCACCACCAGGAATGTCCTCTTGACTCCCACAGGCCCAGGCTACTGACCTGAATGATTTTTTGCAGCTGCCTGTCACTATCCACCACCACGATGTCCATCGCTGAGCTTTCGGCGATGACCTGGCAGGTTTTGGGGGAGTTGGTGGACAAGATGCCAACAGAGAAGCCTCTGGAATCGGAACCCAAGAGGTGAGGGCCGCCAGTGAATTGTAGGGCTCCTGGGAGTAATATTTTGCCCATATGGAGCTAGTCCCTCAGGTAGGGCACCAACTATAGCAGATTTCTCCTGACACAGGTGCCCTCTTTGAAGGCGAGACTCTCTGAAAGAAAGACTCAGGGATAGCCTGGGCATGGCCCTGCCCTCCAGAGGTGGCCCAGTGGTTTGGATGGGTACAGGGAAGGAGCTATCCAAGAAGTCAAGGAAGGAGAACCCAAGGAGTGAGGAAGGCTTCCTGGAGGAAGAGGCATGGGAGCTGGGCTTCACAGGATATATAAGAGATTGCAGGGTAATGTCCAGAAGGATGAGCTGGGCTCTTGACAAATCTCACTGGACAGGATTAAATGAGAACATACTTTGCATGTTCTGCTCTTTGGACTACTTGGGGTCTCTTCCATGAGACCTCAACAGTCCTGGAAGAGGGGTGGGAATGGGTCTTTTGGACCGGTGGCTTTCTGCCTTGATGTCACCTGGGGGGTAAGCAGGTACCTCTTACCCAGCCAAGATGGCGCCAATGCTGGAGATGGCCCATTCCTCTGAGTTGAACCCCATGATCCCCACACCGTGGAAACGCTCCAGGCCCAGCTGAGGGGAAGAGGCCCGTGTGAGGCACCCAGATCTGGTTAGCTATCGCCCACCCACCCCTGCTTCCGCAGGAGTCCCAAGTTGAGAAACTTGGGTTATTTTTTCTTTTGGCCACTTGTGCTTTTGTTAATTGATAAAATAACCATTCTCGCCATAAGTGACAACAACATAGCTGCCGTTGTAAGTGTCCCGCTCCACCTCCACCAGAGGACATTTGGTGGCATGGTGGGGGAAGGGATGCTGCTGACGTTAAGTGGGTGGGCACCAAGGATGCTGAGAAACAACTTCCAGTGCAGAAGACAGACCCCCCATGAAGAGTGACACCTCAAGTGTTAACAGTATGACAGCTGAGAAACCCTGAGAAAATATAAACAAAATGTGCATCCCAACTATTTGAATATTTGACAAAATCAGAGAAGTATTGCTCACATGTTATCACAACCTGCTTTAGTCATAAAAGCATACTGGATGACTTTTTGTCTCAGCCTTTAACTATTTCTCTATGGTATCAACTGTAACACTTCTTTAATAGTGTAACAAAAATGTCTTAATAATCCTTGTTATCATGGGTTTCAATTTCTTTCCCTTCACTTTTAGTAGGTAAAATATCTGGTGGCGCAGCGGGTTAAAGCACAGCACTGAGACGCTAAAGCCACTTCCGCATGAGTTCGATTCCCGCCTGCCCCGGAGGTGACCACATGGCGTGGCAGACCTCTCCTGACCCACCCGCTGCTCCCCTCAGCAGTGTACTTCGTCGATCTGCCTGTTCTGCTCCCCACTCTGTCTCTGGTGAAGCCTCTCGCCACCCCTGAGCCTCTGGCCTGTACCCCAGTTCTGTATGCACAAATAAATAAATCTTAAAAAAAATATATCTGGGTGGTTAACCTGCTAGCATAAGCTCTGACTATACCCATGGTCACAGCTGGCCCTTGAACAATGTGGGGGGGGGCTAAGGGGTGCCAACCCCCAAACAGTAGAAAATTCATGTAAAACGTTTGGCTCTTCAGTGCCCTCCCTGGTGGCACAATGAGGTAAAGCACAGCACTATGAAGATCTCTGCAGCCACTGCAGTGAGAGTTCAATCCCCAGCCAGGGAATGACCCACATGGCGCAGCAGACCTCGCCTGTCTCCCCACTGCTCCCCTCAGCAGTGTGTTTCAGTACATCTTCCTGTTCTGCTCCCCACTCTGTCTCTGCTGAATTGTCTCAGCACACCTCTGGCATGCACTCCAGTTCTTATATGCATAAATAAATAAATCTTAAAAAAAAACTTTTGACTCTTCAAAAGTTAACTACTAAAAAGTGCTGTTGACCTTACTGATAGTATAAACAGTTGATGAATGCATACTTTGCATGTTACAGGTATTATACAATGTACTTTTATAATAAAGGTAGATAAAAGAAACTCATTGGAAAAAAATACATTTGCAGTACTTCCGTACTGTACCTTTAACTTGTCTGCTTACAAGAGAATGTTCATAAGTGGAGCTAAGAAGTTCACACTCATGTTGTCAAGGGCCGGCTATTGCTACCCACATCTAACTTCAAATTCAAGAGGGTACTCCACTCATTGTCAGGTAATTCTATCTGGAGCTTTTCAAATGGAGCTTTTCTTCTCCACATCAGACTCCTGGATACTACAGCCCATTCCCTGAGCCTTAGTCCAACAGGACTCTCCAGCTCAACATGGCCACGGTCACCTCTTCTTTGGACCCCACAATTTCAGTTAAAGGTAGTCCCATCCTTCATGTTACACTTAGTCATCTTCTGCTCCTTTCATTCTCTCAAGAGTTCAATCCACCAAGAAATTTACCTCTCTTCCCTTTCCCTGCTAGCCTCAACTGATGTTTCAACTCATTTATTCCCATGTGACAGCCAAAGGTGGGTCCCCCTTAGTCCTGGGGAAAACTCAAGTCCTCCATAGCTCCCAGGTCCTGAATGACCTGCCCTTACCTCTTCCGTATCTCCTAGTGGCTCATTCTGTCCTAGTCACACTGGCCTCCTCACATGCCAGTGGCATTCTACCCCAGGGCCTTTGCACTGGCTGTTCCCACTGCTAGAACCTCTTCCCCCAGATATAGGTTTTACCCCATTCTCACTCCCAATCTTTTGTTGAAATATCAGTCTCTGTTGAGGCATGTGCACATATGGAAATGTGAAAATGTACCCCTCAGATTATAGAGTGATGTAATGATTGACAAATCAATACATTTTAAGAAAAAAAAAAGACCACTTTCAGAGAGGGTGTCCTCGGTCACATATGTTTAAAAAGAAAAGGCCCTGGTTCATTTTCCCTGTTCTCTTCTGTGCTTTAGTTTTTTCTTAATTAGTCTACTTAAGGCATAATTTAGTTGTTTATTACATTGGGAGAGTGCTTTGAGGTCTCTGGTTGCCTTTCCTAATCTGAAAAATGGGCATTCATTCATTCATTCATTCATTAAACACACAGGCAAGGGTCTGGTGCTGCTCCAAATGCCAGGTCTGCACTGAGCAAGACAGAAGGCAGCTGTGATGGAGAGAGGAGAGTAAGAGTAACCAGAAAGGACCTAAGGAAATGAGGCACAGTGGGGTAAGGATACAAAAAAAATAATAACCGTAAGAATACTAGCTACCATTGATGCACGGCTTAAGGGTGTCCAAGAGCTATGTGATACATGTTCACGTGTTGAATCCTTGTAGCAAATCTTTGTGCTAGACGCTATCTTGTTTCATAATGCATATAATTTTAGTATGTAATGATACATTTTATAGCAAATTTAAACAAATTCTGAAAATTGTAAATTCATGCAAAATATTATATACCAAAAATATCACATACGGCTTGACTAGTGAAGCCAAAAAATTGGAGCAAGAACAAGCGGCTGATAAGAGTGATACCGGGTCTGGGATTCGAACCCAAACGCAAGCATCCTCAAAGAAGTAAAAGACTGGCCAGCAAGGACGAGACTGACCCAACCGAGGGCAGGGGCAAGGGGCGGGGCGGTGCCGAGAAAGAAGGCAAGGGCAGGCGCAGGTGGACAGAGCGCGCATGCGCGGGGGCGGCCCGAGCAGGTGGACAGAGCGCGGGAGGGCAGGAGCGCGCATGCGCGGGGCGGGGCGCCGTACCTTGAGGAAGGCCTTGGCGGCCCGCCGGCACTGCTCGTAGTACTCGATGTAGGTGAGCAGGTGCCAGCTGTTCCCGTGCTTGGAGCCGAGCGCGATGTAGTTGGCGTACTGCATGGCCGTGCTCCTGACCATTTCGTGCACGGTGATGGGCGTGCTGTTGGCCAGGGAGCTCTTCTCATGGTGCAGGCGCACCTCGCCGTCGCGCCGTGTGGTCCAGTATCTTTGGCCTGTGGGCCGTGGGGACGCTCGTGTGGACGCTGGAGGCGACGCTAGGGGTGAAGGAGACTCCTGGTAGGTGCGGCAGGGAGGGTGGGGTGACCGGAGGGACCGGCGTGGCGGTAGGGAGGGGGGAGGTTTGTGGGGGTCGAGTCACAGCACCGGCTTGGTACTCGTGGGCCACAGGAGGGCTGGGGGTGGCCTAGGCCGCATGGTAGCTGAGGTTGGGGGGTAAGAAAAGGGAACCTCAGGGCGGCGGGAGAGGGCTGTGGAAGAGGTGGAACACAGGAGTGGCACTAGCGGGGCAGAGAAAGTTGGGAGAATGAGGCGAGAGCCATGAAAGACAGAAAGAACAGGCTTCAGAAGGGAGAAAGTACAGACGAACAGGGACGCAGGAAAGGACAGAGGGGCAGGTGGACAGACTGATGACACCACAGAGGAGTCCAGTGGCAAACCAAGCTGGCAACTCAGCAACAGGCTGTGACCCTCCTGTGGAACCCAGGACCCGGCCTCATTGTGGAGGGCCCTGGACACACTCACTCCCAGTTCAGAGGGACAGCCACCCCCTACCCGACCCCCAGCAAACAGTCAAGCCCGTCCAGACAGACAGCCTCAGACTCCCAGCCCTTCTGCAGCCTCCTCTGACAGTGTGGGCAGGCTGGACCCCCACCCTCAGACGGGGCTGAGAACCACCCCAGCCACATCCAGGTCCTACAGGGTCCCCAACCTCTGGCTTTCATTTCTGGTCAGTGGTGCTCTCCTCCAGTGGACTCAGTATCTTGTCTGAAGACAGGTGTCCAGGCTTCCTTCGTCTCTGTTCTCACTGACTGCGATGAGTCTGGCCTCCTGTAGTGGACAGATTTCATACAGACACAGTGACAGTCGAGTGGAGGACCAGTGTGTCCAGCCGTGGGCAGGCATAACCAAGGCGTGTCCAGGGAGGTGCCTGAAGGTGTAAGAGCTGACCAAGCACAGGGAGGGAGAAGCATCTAAGAGTGTGAGCTGGCCACAGCCTTCCGCGCCGTGGATGAAGAAAAGTGGGGAAACACAGAAGGAACAGAGCTGGGCAGGTGGTGGGAGCCAGATCCTGTGGGGTCCTGACCGTGCTGGTAAAGAAATGTACCTTCTGTGGCCATTCTGCACCCTTTATGCAGACTGTTCTGTACCCGGGGAAGAGCTGAAATATCTGGCCTCTGCCCCTTCCACCTCCTGTGTGGTCAGAAAAGTGGGGCCCACGCTTGCCACCAACTTTTTATCAGCTTTGGTCACCTCTGCTCTAGCCACACAAGAGGCAGTCGTCTCTAGACTGGATGCCTAGAATGTTCTTGCCTGTGGCCGATCCTTATGACATCACTGTAGGTTCTGAAGCCGGAGCCATGGGGACTGGGTGGAAGGGCAGGAATCTCCCCAGGAACACCTTCCTTCTGCGCCCCTAGCCGTTGTTCCCAAGGTGATAGTCCCCAGAGAGGTGGCAGCCGGGCTCTCCTGGCTCCAGAGCCACAGAGGGACTCCAGACCCACCACGCCGCACTGTTGGCTTGCGATCCAGAGTTTTCATGGGAGCCTAAAAAAGAGTAATGAGCTGGAAGAGGCAGGCACGGACGGTCAGCAGCACGTGCCAAGGAAGCAGTGTCTCAGAAAGCAAGGCTAGGTCTGCGGAACCTGGGCGGCCGGGAATCAGAGGACTTTGAGTCACTGGGCCTGGCCGTTGGCTATTCCTGTGCTCTTGGCCATCGTCTGTAGGTGAGAGTCCCCAGGGCTGTTAGAGCTGCATTGCCAAATACTGGATGCTGTTGAGATTTATAAACTCATCATTGAAAAGCCTCTCTGATTCTGCAACTTAATAGAATTACCCTGTAAGCCAGAAATTCTGTTTCTGGGTACACACCCAAAACAGCTGAAAGGGGGCCACAAACGGATACTCGTATTCCCGTGTTCACAGCAGTGTGATTCACGGCAGCCAACAGGAAGCAACCCAAGTGTTCCTCAGTGGGTGAATGGGTAAAAAAATGCGGTTTACCCAGGCAGTGGAATGTTTTTTAGCCTTTAAAAGGAAATTCTGGCATAAGTTTTCACATGGATGCGACGCAGGACCCAGAATATGGAAATGGGCCCTTTCACTGGCACTCGACCAGCACAAAACAGCGGGGTTCGGTTTTGAGGTCTGAGGGGTGCAGGCCCATCTGCCCTCCTTCTGGCACTTATGCAAATTTAGGGTCATAACCTCCCAGTGTGATTGCGCTTGCTCTCGTGGGTGCCACCTCAAAGGGGCAGTCGGGGTGAGTGCCCGTGTGGCTGGAAGGGGATGGAGTGGACGGAGAGGCAGGCAGGTCGGCCTGGAAGACTGTGGAGCTGGAACACCAGCCTGTCCCTGGGCCGCGCCTGTGCGGACCTGACCTATGACGCCGTGAGCTGGGTGACCCTGAAAGGGCCGGCAGGTTTGGTCTGCTGGCCACATCCCTGGAGGCGCTCACCCTGCGCCTGCCTGAGACACCGGCACCCGCTGTGCCAGTGCCTCTGGCGCTGTGCACTTCAGTGTGCAGTGCTGGCCGCCCGCTCCCGGGTTGCTGTTGCTGACCCCTGTGACCTTTGGGCCGCTGCTGTCGCCTCTTTCTTCCATCTTCTCCCCTTGGATTTACATAAACCCTGCTGTTGGGCCTGTGCCTGAATCAGCCTGGGAGAACCGCCCCCCCCGCCAGGACATTGGGCTCCCCCAGGCTTTGTGCGGTTGCAGATGAACCCTGAAGACATTGCACACAGCAAATTCAGACCCCGCTAAGTATCCTTATGGGTCCTTTTTTAAAACAGTCACATTCATAGGAACACAGCAACGGAACAGCGGTTGCCAGGTGCTTTTCATGTGCACAGCGTCGGTTGTGGGGTACACGACAGTGCGGCACACTGGAGCCGAGGACGGATTTTCAGAGGCTTCAATGGCATGTTTTTGGCTTATCACAATTTAAGACACTTAACCGCTTAGCGAGTTCTTGTCATTTCTCAAAGACTTAAAGGAGAACAATGAGGCCAGGGTGAGAGTCACTGTAGAAAATACATTACTGAGCTGGAGCATTTTATGACGATCAGCCATTTGTGTACCTTAAATGGCAGATTTTTTAAAAAGGCAAAAATTTTTTTTTCCAAAGCTACATTCTGGTAGAAGACCAGACATTTATGTACTCTTCTCTGAAAGCGCGTCCTCACCCTCCACGTGCACGTTCCCCCTGTAGTGGCGTATGTGTGCGCAGTGGGTGTTGTTCCTGCTGGTAGCTTCACCTGCAGAACTGCTTGAACACCGAGTTAGCAAACACTGGACCATTGAGCTGAAAAGAAATGCAGAGTTGGGCGGGCTCCTCACAGCTTCCGGTCACACCCTTGGCCAGTCTGTGCATAACTTGTGTGACCAGTGCTTTCTGCTCAAGGACAACTTACTTAACACATGTTGATTTGTTAACACTGAACTCAGGGCTGACATTACCCCCCCTCCCCCAACAATAGTAAGTCACATTACAGCCTTGCAGCAGGAACTGTAGAGAATACTTCAGCTGTAGACTTGGGGACTGTTTTCACCAGCAGAAATACCCAAAAATGCCCAACCTGTGGCATGACCTCTGAAAGGACATGCGCTTGCAAGATGAGGGCACCACCTTCGACCTTGCTGGGAACGTGGCAGCTGAAAATTCTCACTACTCCGTGCATGGCCACAAGTGACCTCGAAAGCACCAGCTCTATTGATTTAGGGTTACACATTTGAGAGAGCAGGCAAATTTGCGAAGATAGAATCTTCAAATACAGAGGATTGACTGTACTTGCACACTTTAAAAATAAACATCAGAGAATGAGAGTCATCAAGTAGGACTATCTTCCTGCATTGTGTTAAATCTTCTGCAAGGAGAATGTCTACACATTTTGATTTATGCCTTTATGTTCCTCAGTACATTAAGAATAGAAATGCCATATGACAACTGTTCTACTTCTGGGTATTTAAGGGTACTAACCAGTAATTTGAAAAATCTGTGTACCCCATGTTCATGGTAGTAGTATTCACAGTAACTAAGCGTTGGAAATAACCTGCGTGTCCATCGACGGACTAGTGAATAAAGAAGATCTGGTGTATTCACGTAATTAAGTACTACTACTCAGCTGTAAAGAATGAAGTCCTGCCATTTGAACAATCTGGATGAACCTAGAGGATATTATGCTTATGAAATAAATCAGAAAGAAAAAACATTATTTTATTCATGGGGAAGATAAACGAAATAAATGAACATACCAAAACAAAAACAAAACCAGACTAAGAATCTGGTAAAGGGGTCAATTGTATAGTGATGGATGGAAACTAGAATTTTGCGGGCTCATGTTATTAGGCTGTAACACCTGAAACCTGTAGTGTTACTCACCGGTGTTGTTTTCCTCAAAGGAGGAAAGGAGAGGGTTTGGGGGCTCCATATGGATGTTAAGGGGCCCTGGAAGTTCTTATTTCTCAACCCTGATGGATTGTCCCTCTCTGGGCTGGGAAATGCTCCTTCCCTACTCCCCAACACATACTGAGGGTGTGGTATGCTGGACAGGAGACATCGCTGTGGCCTCCCCATACAAGGCCTGTGGATGAGAGAGCTGCTGTTCCTGCTGCTTTCACGACTATGGCAAAACTCATCGCTGAAATTGAAGATAACTGAGATTGACAGAGTGCTGGGATGGTAACTGTTAGTCCCTACTGAGGGCTTTGTCACCTCAGACTCGGCCACACTGTGAGATGATAGGGGGTTTTCTACTTTTGTGGATAATCTCTCTCACATACAACTCAAGGGTTGAACTCACATACAGTAACTCAGTTTGACTTAAAAACTCAGTTCAGAGTCTGAGTTTCCCAAGGGAGAAACTGTTCATGTCTGAGCATGTCTCGCCAAAAATCAGGACACTGGAGGCTGAAGTGCTTTATTATCAGAACTTGATTGGAAGGATTGCCAGGTTGCTCCCAGAACGGGATCCAGTTCTTCAAGCTCGCAAAAGCTTTCTTACGTCTCAGTCAGTCTCTGTGGAGAAGAAAATCCAGTTGGAACCAACAAGGTCAGGTCTTTCCTCAAAAATGGGCAAATCTTCATAGATGCCCCTGGAATCATGCCTCAAAGGCCCAAAGGAAACCAGAGGCTTAGTTTGCCTGTCACCTCCATAGGCAATTGCAGGTCCCAATGGGAGCACTTTCTTACCAGGTGAGTAACCAGGCGACCTACCCTTAAGGATCTGGCTTCTTAAAAACAGAAGAGAAAGTCCCTACCCAGAGTAGTAAGTTACGTATCACGATGGGGCCTTCCTGTTCAAGGCTGCAGAGAGAGGAAGTGAGAGCAGAAAGCTACATTATCACATGGAGATCCTTGCGGTACGTGTTCATTCTCTGAGACCCCGGAGTTATCTGAAGATGGAATGTTCCTAAATGGATGGGATACTGATCCATGGAATGGGAATGGAGTAAGTGATCCACAGATTTACTTATAAGTAAAAAAATGAATGTCTTCAATGAACTTTAGAGCAGCACAGTCCAAGAGAAATATTACATGATATTAGCCATAAAAAAGGAACTGGAGAAATCCAGTTTGTCCAGTTAATCATATCAGCATGTATTCACTATTTAAAAAATGTATTCTGCTCAATTCAGACAGGTCACATGGTGGCCAGTGGCTGCCATATTGGACAGCACACCCACCTCCCACCCCCTCACCAACATCAAGTGGCCTCTTACCCAGTGGCAAAGTGAAACTGGAAATTATTCAAGTAATTAATGTGTTGTCTTTAACTTACGGGCCCATCCACAAGAGTGACAAAGGTGTGACAAAGGTGTGGAGGAGAAAATCAGGTCAAGAGGGGGGAAAAAGAAAATGGATACAGTGCTGTGACCCCCTCCCATTCACCTTAACCCTCTACATCTCAGACGGTGACTTTACTTGGGGATAGGGACTTTACAGAGGTAATCAAGTTAAAATGAAGTCACTAAGGTGGACTAATCCATATGACTGGTGTCCTTATAAAAAGGGAAAGTCTGGGCACAGAGCCTCAGGGAGGAAACAGCATTACAAGTCAAGGGGAGAAGAAAAACTCAGCCAAAAACCTTGATCTTAAAGTTCCAGCCTCCAGGGCCATGAGAAAATCAAGCCCCCTCGTGCACAGAACCTTGTTCCGACAGTCCTATAAACTAGGTGTGTGGCCTGGGGCACCACCAGGTAACGATTTGACTATGAGACGATTAGACAGGTGGCCCTTTGGGTGACTAGAGATGCATTCTACTCTCTGCCTATTCCCTGTAGGCAGCAGGCAGCCTTCTTGAAGCTGTCAGTTGTTTATGCCATGGAGGCTTCCTGTGGACAGGACTTGGGAGGAAGAAGGAAAGGGCTGGACAGGATGAGCTCATGCCTCTATCCCTTAACATCAGTGATGGGTCAGCACCGCTCATTCTTGGACTCCTGGCAAGTGGAGAGTCTCCTGCACCATAGTTCTTGACCAACAGCCTCCCCCAAATAAACTACAGCTCCCAGTGGCTTTAGTGAAAAACTCTGGTCCTAGGTGGGACAATTACTCATTACCTCTTTGAGGTAAGTAGAAAAGTTCAGAAGAACAGTTAACAATATTGCTGGCCGACTGGAAAGGAGTTTGCAGCCCTCCCAGGCCCTTTAGAGAGCATGAGAGGAGGCCAGATGCTATCCAGAAGCCATGCAGCTGGTGGCTGGGCTGCAGTCCTGCTCATAGACTGCCCACCACACAGGGGAGACCACCTCTGTTGGACTCGTTCAAGGCACAGGCCAGCAAAGTCAAGCTTACCATGGGGGCCGGCGAGAACAGCTCCAGTAAAGAGGTCACTTGTAGAAGTCTTCAATTTTCATTTTGTATTTCTGAGTTATGAAATATCTCCTAAGCTTTGATGTTGGACCTATCAAGAAAGGAGAAACTAGTTCAGTTATACAATAAAATCCATGGACCCCCTTGCACACCATGACAACAAGTTCTGGCTGAGGCTGGGTTATGGTCAGCTCTGCCATCGACATCCTGGGCACACCACCTTTGCCAGCAGTGTGAGCATAACTCCCACTGGGTGCTGTGGTAGGAATCCCCCATGCTGGTAGGTGGAGAGTACCCTGAACTCTGTGCCTGATACAGATAATGCATCCAATGACAAGGGACACCCCTCAACTATGCCCAGTTTTACAGGTGAGGAAGCAGGCTCAGACAAGGCGGTCACCCTGAAGTCACTCCAGGATTGTTGACCTGAAGACCACGATCCCCCTAAGCCCTAGGTAACCGAAGGGTTGGAGCATCCCTCAAGATGTCCTCAACAGTCCCGTGAGGATGACACTTCAAACTGGCAGATGGAAAGACTGAGGCTTGTGGGGTAACTTCCCTGTATGAAGTTCACAGGATTTGAATCCAGGCTGTTCAGGCTACCTGCTGGAATAATCCCCGCACCCATGTCCTCAGATGACAGCGGGGTGCCAAGAGCAAGCCCTCCCGAGAGGACAACAACAGAAAGTGAACTCTAGGTCTGCAGCGAGTCTGCCCCTCCCAGGGAGATGGACAAAAATAAACTGAGATGCAGACTGATTTCAGACTGATGTGTTTAAGGAAGCAAGAAGACAGGACAATGCAGCAGTTGTAAGGTGACTCAGTGTTGATAGGTTGGTGGTGACCCACTTCACCCAGATGCCCCTTACTGTGAGAAGGAGCCATCCAGGCAAAGAACTGAAGAGGAAAGCATTCCAGGCAGATGAGCAGGAGGTGCAAAGGCCCTGAGGCAGGCCCGTGGTTGAGGAGTTGGGGGAACTTCAGGAAGGCTGATGCAGCCGTCATAGGGGCGACAGTGAGAGGTCAGCAGGGGGACTGTGGAGTTACAGTTAAGTTTAGCTTTTCTTTTCAGAGGGGTGGGTGTGGCTGCCCTGTAGAAACGAGATGCTGTGTATGGATGTGTGTGAGCATGTGCAGATATGTGAGCAGAAGTATAAGCATGAGGGAGAGGAGGTGGGGGTGGCTGACTGTGCGTGTGTGATTATTTGAGTGAGTGAAGGTAAGCTTGTGTGTGTGTGGTTCAGGGGTGCAGGAGCTGGGCACCTGTTGTCGGAAGAGGATCATGCCTCTGCTGGTACCTGGCTGGCAACACAGACCCTGGACTCTCAGACAAGGCACATCTCAGAGCCCATGTGGCCCTGGACACTGGCAAAGGACCAGCCTCCCAGTGGCAGGCTGCCAGCTCGGGCTGCTCACCTAGCTCTCCGCCAGGGATGGAGAAGTCCTTTTCCAAGATGGCCCACTTCTGAATCTTCTGCGCATCAGAGATGGCTTCCTGATTCACAGCGTTTATGCCTTGCTGGATGGCCCTGTGGACCAGGGTGTCTGGCAGCTGTAGGATGTCAGTCACCGTGGAAGCATGGCTGCCCAGTTTCCGGCAGAACTTGATGGCTTCCGCGGTCAGCCTGTCTAGCGGCTCTCCACTCGCCTCGTCTGTTTCGCACTGCCCCAGATACCCCTGTCACCACACCCAGCACCCACGCACATTCCCCAGCTAACCTGAGGACCAGGGGCGGGTCTCAGGCAGCAGGGGCTTGCCCTCTCTGGGGTCCCCCATGTGGGACACCCAGGTTACCTTCAGTGTCAGCAAGATGCTCAGAAACCTCAACTTGTCTCCTACTAACATGGCATTGCTGATGATGGGGATCTTCTCCTTCACCTTATTCTCAATGGGAACAGGGGCCACATTCTCACCGCCAGCAGTGATGAGCATTTCTGGAACGAAGGATGGCTTTCTTTTAGGTTTAACTAGGACATATAAAACTCACGCTCGCTCGAGGATCGGCAGGGACAGACATTGGCATAGATGGTCACTTGCCTGGAAAACCCCAGCAGAGGGGGCCCTCCCTACGCCGGGCCTCTCTCCAAGCTACAGACTCAAAGTCACGTTGCTTCTCCCACCATGTCTTTAAGTTCCCATCAAGCACCCAAGTCCTGTGTGTTCCCCTTGGCCAGCAGCACATTAGCTCAATGCCTGTGTCTCCACCTCCACACCCTGCATACTGGCACTGCAGTATGTCTGGCTTAGAAGATTGTGAAACTCTCCTTGTCTTACTCTGCCTCTCCTCAGCTTTTCCCACCTCTTGGCAAGCCCCACAGAGCCAAAGTCTGGTCTTGGGCCAGGTGTGTGCGGCATCCCCCAATTCTTGCAGCCTCCAAAAGATTTGTGTCACCTTCTCCCCCATCTTGAAAATTCTTCAAGACCTCCTCCCCCTGGGATGCTTGCTAGGTCCCGTCCCCTCCATCTTGAACACCTGAGTCCACATGGGGTGGACTGCAAGGGCGAGCACGTGCCCAGGTGGAGCAAATCAGCATGTGCCACCCAAGGGTTCCCTCCGAGGTGGATCCAAAAAGAGTCAATGAGAAAACTAAAACTTTTCACTGAAGTTACTGGGAGACATCCTTTTCACATGGAGGTCATGGTGACTCTTGGCAGTGACCTTGTCACCAAAAGGGGAAAACTTGAAGAATGACATCAACACAGAGCACATTTCTGTAGTAGGAGGCTAATGAGGGTCCTGTGACGTCACTTTGGCACCTGGATTCAGCTACACCTGAAGGACTTTTCTGGTTTTTGAGTGAGCAGTTTCCCTGAAATCCACTTGGCGGGGGTGGGGGGTGTTTCTCTTAGCGTAACTAGTGCTGCTACAGCCCGTTTGCTAGTTAACTGCCTTGGGAAGGCGAGTGCCAAAGACCATCAGAATTAGACCAGCCACAGTCTCTGAGCTAAGTCTAGCCTCTCCCCTGTCTCTCTGGCTGTGAGCTAAAGATGGCTTTTACATTTTTAAATGGCTGGAAGGAAATCCAAAGAACACTGTGTGACAGTGAAAGTTTGGGCCACTCAGGTGGGCAGGTGACCTCGTCCGTCCACATGTCACCATTGTTCTTTTAAGGGAGGAGCTGACCAGCTGTGACAGAAACCATATGCCCTGTAAATCCCCAGCTAATTATGATTAGCCCTTTTTGGGGCAAAGTTGGCTCATCCCTGTTCTACCTCCTTTTGCCTAATCTTTATAAGTCTGTGATTATGACTATGCTCGGAGTACAGAGGCAGAAACAGGTTTCTGGGGTACTTGGGCATCTCTCCCAGGTCCATACTGCTGAGACGCTGTGCCTGATGCTGAGCACAGGACAGAGCTGGCGGGGGGAGGGGGGCTGCAGACTGTGGTGCCCCTGTATATCTGCATGGGCGCCCCCATGGGAGACAGGAGCCTGGGAGCCTTCATTGCACTGGCTCACCAAGCCCTTGAATGTTTAGGACACCCCACAGAACCAGACCCAGTATACCTTTGATGCGACCAGTGATGTAGAGGAAACCCTGTTTGTCCAGTTTCCCCAAGTCCCCAGAGTGTAACCAGCCTTCCTCATCGATGGCCTCCATGGTCGCTGCCTCCTTCTCCAGGTAGCCCATGAAGACATGGCGGCCCCAGAGGCAGATCTCCCCGGCGCCATCCTGGGTCTGCTGGCTCAGCATGCTCTTGCATCCACTCAGGATTTTGCCGCAGCTGAGGGGTAGCAGGAGAGAAATAGGCTCAGAGAAGCAGGTATGTCGACCTGCACACAAGACCAGGGCAGCTGATTTTAAGAAAACCAACTAGAATATCCTTAGAAGTTAGTTAACGCCACAAAACAGTACTTTCCGGAATCCATATTCTTCTAAGACTTTTTTTTTTTTTTCTCTAGAGCTAATCCTTGGAAGGTTATAGGATGCAGAAAAGGGAACCTTTTCTTATTCACTTGTTGATTGGCTTCACTGGCAGTTAGACGGATCAGAAGGCTTTAGGGTTACGTGTAGGAAATCCTTTAGTAAGAGCTCAAAATTTGCAGAGCCTCTTAATGACTTCCCATGGAAGAACTTTCTAGAACATAAAACAACAGCAGCAACAACAAAAGATTGATAAATTCAACCATGTAAATACAATGGTGGAGTCAAGACTGAGTGGAAGTTCATGTTACAAATCCAGATACTGCGTTTCATGTTTTTGGGGCAGGTTTGCCCTCTGAGTGCCAGATGTCATAGAAAATGTTTCCATTTGGTATGAAACACTACTTACACCAGATGAACTTGAGCATGATGTAATTATTCTTTTGGGAGAGTGTTGTGAGTTGAATTGCTCCCTCCTCCATTCATATATTGAAACCTTAATCCTTGGGGCCTTAGGTGGTGAGTGTGTTGAGATTTCATTGAAGATACAATTAGCTCAATTAAGAAGTCACCACGGAGTCAGGTGGCTCCAAATCCAGTATGAGCAGTGTCCTTATAAAAAGGGGCATCTGGACACAGATCTGTACGCATGGAGAACACCATGTGAAGAGGAAGAAAGAGAGGTCACTGCTGCTCCTACGAGCCAAGGAATGCCAGAGACAGCCGGCAGACTCCCAGAGGCTGAGAGAGCGAGGACCGAGCAGACTGTCCTCACAGGTTCCAGAAGTCAGCAGCCCTGCTGACCCCTTCATGTCAAGCTCCTGGTCTTCATACATGTGAGAAAGTTAGTTTCTGTGTTTAAGTTGGTGGAACCTTGTCACAGCAGCCCTAGCAAACCCATGCAGAATGAACCAGATGTGTGCGGCAGGCTGGAGGGAGGTTTTCACTATAATTTTATACCTTCTGATTTTATTTTTTTGAGATGGGCATGTATTTCTTGTTCAAAAAGAAGTAAAAACAGAATTTGTCCCTTTCCCCCCAGTTGGGACAGTGGATCAATTATCTGTAGGGAAGGACCACTCTTTGGTTCTGGAAAAATACTCCTGGGCATTTGGGGTGCTGCAGGAAACACGAGATAGGATTATGTTGTGGAGATGGGGGGAATAAGTGAAGTACAAAGCTCTCTTGCAAGGTAAAGTCAAAGGTAGGAGATGGTTTTGCTAGAGTGGGAAGATTAAGCTTAGTTTTTGCTAAGTGTGAAGACAGTTGGAACATGACCAAGTACGCGAGGGAAGCTGGACTTGCAGTGTGGCGGGTGGGAAGGGCCCGGGGAGACGCAGCCAGGGCTTGGTGAAGGAACGCAGCTCCCCGACAGCCAGGGAACATGCCTTTCGTTCCTTCTGTTTCGGGGTCACTGCAGCCTGGGGTAAAATGAGCTTCAGGAAGAGCCAGAGAGGCTGATAGAGGTGGTGGTGTCCCAGGTGCCAGGAGGTAACCTAGCGCCTGGGAAGTCTGGAGACAGAACTCCCAAGTGACAAGCGGGAAGGCCACAAAATGCTCAGAGCCTTCCCCTTATCCGTGGGTTCTCCCACCACAGAGCTTCATGGGGTTGTGACTATCTGGGACTTGAAGGCTAGGGGGCGGGCATTCTGGAGACACTGGATCTGGATGCATCTTCACCCAGAGGCCTGCCCACCCTCCCATCTCCCCCCTCCCCCCCCCCGCTTGAGTCTGTGCTTTTAGGGCCCGGGGACCACCCAAGGGGCTGGTACCTCAGAATCTTGTAGTTCTCTTGATTGGAGATGGTGTGGGGTCCTGTGCTTTCTGACATACCGTACATCTCGCCCACAGGTAGGTCTAGGCTTAGAAAGAACTCGGCGGTCTCTTGGCCAAGGGGTGCTGCTGCACTGATGCAAGAGTTGCAGTGGTCAAGGCCGAGGGAGCTCCTGACATGGCTGAACACGAGGGTCTTGGCCACGCGGTAGCTCATAGTCACTTCTTGTCTCCTGTGAACAAGATGCCAAGGAGGCAGGGCCCATGACCAGGGAGCCAGAGGGGCTGATGGGAAGTAGCTGGTGATGGCTGAGCTCCCTCGCTCACTGTTCCTCCCACTCCGACCCCATGGACCCTCCACGTACCCCATCATCTTTTTTGTGTTGGTCCTTAATCCAACAGCTCTTGCCCATGAAAACACCTTCTTCCTCAATCTTGATGACTTGGCATTACTTTCCTTTATCTTCTCTTCCATCTTCTCCCAAATTCGGGGTACCCCCAGGAAGGCAGTAGGTTTTACCTCCTGCAGAGTCTTTAGCAGCGTACCCTGGAGGGGATAGAGTCACATGGGTACCACCTTCCATGGACCCCAAATATCCATCTCTCCACAGCTTCCTAGCTCAGTCCAGGAGAACCTTCCCTTGGTTCTGATTGGACCAGCCTGAGCCTGTGACCCACAGGAGCTAGCCCATTGGCTGCTCAGTGGTCAATCAGATTTTCACACTTTAGGGATTTGGTGGAGAGCACTTGCTGGTAAAATAATTTTGGAAGGTAACACCAAGATACTGTGGACATTTTAAATGCAACTTCATTTCTGTGGCTGGAGAAATTTAGCAGAATGAGACTCATGTGAAAAAGAGGCACATATATGGCATCCTTTCCTACTTAGTTTCCTGACAGAATGGAAACAGGCTGGATAGTCAATGATGGGTGATTGGCTAACGAAACTGTCCCAGACATGCTGTGGAATATTGCATACCTTTACCCCCAACTCACGAGATTCCCTCCCACCTCCAAAATGACCTGCAGATTCAATGCAATATTAAAGAAAGACCTGGGCAGGGTTTTTCCTACAAATTGACAGGTGATCTTAAAATTTATAGGAGGGAGGGGCATCCTGTCATGACTGCTCATATAAGATGCTATCACCATCCTGGTCAGGCCTCAAGGTCCACAACTTCCTTCTTCCTCATGGAACTACCTTCCTTGGAACTGCCTAGGAAGTTATATGCATGCCCCAACTGCATAAGTGCATCAGCCTGAAGCCAAGACTATCTGAGATGGGGGAGCAAAACCCTTACCCTATTGTCTCAAAATGTTAATCTGTGGTGACATCCACGCTGTGGATTTTCTCAACACTCCAGCTGAACTCTATGTTCTTTCCTTACCTTATTCTGTTCCCCTCATTCCCTTACAGTTGTTACCTGAGAGCTTCTCAGGTAAAAACTCAATAAATAGCAACCTCCCATTCCACCTCAGGTTTTGCTTCCAAAGGGCCCCATCCAAAATGACAGCAAGTCCTGCTTAGGGCAGAAAGATGGAGGAAAAAATAATGCAATGGAAACTTCAACATTTGAGAAATACTCAAATAAGAATGTGACAACCCATAAACACAAACTGGACAGGTATGCAGAAGCTTCACAAAATTGAAAAACAAAAACAACTATTTGGGATAAAAACAAAAAGTTGGGCCATGTAGGAAAATATATAGTAAACCACTTGGCTAGTTAACTGAGAATTATTTACATTGAAAAAGTGGAAGTGAGGGTATAATAGAGTTAAATTCTCACCCTTTACAATGGAAAGATAATAGATAATATTTTTCAAGTGGATAATTAAAAAAAGATGGTGTTACATATTCAAAAAACTGTAAATAAGTGCTAGAAGAAATCTGAAAACTTTGAGAAAATTTGCCCTCTGGAAGGTAAGTCAGGATGCAACTGGTTTTCAAAATAGGTCCAAATCCCCTATCTCATACTCCTGGGACAGATGTATTTCAGAATTTAGAATTCTCTAAATTTCCTCTGGAATTTAGAATTCAGAATGCTTGTCCAGTGCACATCTCATCAGTTCTATAGTGGTGCTTGGGCAAACATACTGAAACTCATTACATTGGTGTATGCATATTGCCAGTAAATGGGATAAAATGAAGACTACAAATAACTTCATGTTAGTGAAGGTGATATTTATTGCCCAAAATGTGGGTTTTTAGAAGCTTTTTGGAATTGGCAATACTGGCTTTTGAAAAGACAACAGATACCACACCTGCTTTTAATACTATGCATGTCTTTGCCTTGGGTTGTTCAGTGTACGACTTACACAGCCATACATGGATGCCATGACTTGGATAAAGTTAAAAACTAGAAGAATGTGGGCAACTGTTTTCAACACTGCTAACTGGGAGCAAAACAGGAGGACAGAGAAGGAACCCCCTGAGATCTGGGTTTTAACAAAACCATCCCTTCACTAGGCCTGCCCTCAGCTTTACCTTGAGAGCATCTGGCTGAGCAAAATAGATGACAGCCCCAACCTTCATGGGTATCCAAACATCCATCATCTGAGCTGCAATGTGGCTCAGGGGAAGGTAGCTGACGACCACCTCCTGCTTTTCTGAGGCGTAACTCAGGCCACATTCCTTAGCTGCTGCCCCGGCCATCCATGTGATCTAGAACAGAAGTAGTTGACGATCAAGGGTGCTTTGTCCTCTCTAGAGGGCCATTTCATTGCAACGGTCGTCATATCCTGCTTAACAACGGAATGCGCTGTGGAGAAAGGCATCACTAGGTGATTTCACCATTGTGTGAACACCGTAGAGTGTAATTACACAAACCTAGATGGATCAGCCTGCCCCACACCTGGCTTTATATAGAAACCACCATGTGATGTCCCTCACTGATGGAAACATTGACGTGCAGCACGTGAGTGTATTTAGCAAACATTAGAGAAGGGATGTGCCAGGCATTGCTCTGGCAGGATATACACACCGAGTATTTTATTCCTCAATGGGCCCCCATCATTCTCTGGGGGCCCATACTGTGATTCTCCTTATTTTGTAGATGGAGAAACAAGCACAGAGTGAACTGACTTGCCCAAGGCCAGGAAGAGCTGTAAAATTCCGCAGACAACTGGGGTGAGGAGGATGGGGACAGGATGGGGACCCTAGCTTTACAATGTCTACTGTGAAGGATTCAGTAAGTGTCCCAAAATTAAATCCTGGCTCCATTATTTGGGAACTGGGTGACTGCAAGGAAGGCGGAGTAACTCAGGCTCTTTGCACCTGTCAGCCTCTCCTGCCACCACTTGCAGCTTTGTTTTCCACCCAGGTTTCATTACCCATGTGATACTGTGTTACTGCAGAAAACCTTGGGAGCTCCACCTCCTATGAATACCAATATCTGGGCCAAGAAACAGGCCACTGGGAGCTTGCAGGGCCACGAGGCTTGGTTGCTGCCTGCCTGCCCTCCTGCTTGCTGGTCTAGACGCCTGTGTACCTGGCTCCCTGCTTCAGCATTAGAGGCCTGTCAGATCTACAAAAAGATTCTTTTCCCATCTGCCCCAGTCACCCATGAACCTACCCAGCCTGGGATGATTGCATGGCAGTGAGTCTGGACTCCTTTGCAGCTTCTATTTGCTCATCTGTAAAATGGGTACAGAGGCTTCTCTACCAGGGAAGTAGAACTATGGAACCAGTGTTGTCCAATAAGAAAAGGCAAAATACTAGCGCATGAACACCCCCAAAATTAGCAAATTGTTTTCCTTTCTCCAATGCATACCTTGATGTTTTAACTTATCTACAACTTTGAGTGATGTATGTTTATAACTGGTATCACGAATCTGGTGAGCAGTTACCTCCTTCATCCAGCCATACAGACGCCACACTGTTCCTGCAACACACCAGCCACGGTCCTGCCTCAGGGTCTTCGCAGTGACTCTCTACCTGAAATGCTCTTCCTCCTGCTTTCCCCACATTGACCCTCAAATTTAAATTTCCATTTAAATGTCCCCTCCTGTGACACCACCTGAAGTTTCTTCCGTCTGGTTTTCTAGGGGCCACTCACCGCAGCCTGGGTCGTTCTGCTCATTTCCCGGCTGTTCCCACCAGCACTGCGCTAGCCTGTAGCCCGAGGTTCCTGGCACCTGAGGGGTGTGGCACGTGTAGACAGTGATGCACAGTGGGCTACATACTCCTGGGTTCAGGTCCTGGCCCAGGCCTCCCTTTGGCCTGTCACCTCAGCAAATCAGTCCCCTCCCAGCCCCGGTTTCCTGAGGGGTGAGTGTGTGCAGCACAGCAGGCAGACGGTGCCTTCCACCGGGGAGAGGCTCTGAGCTGTTGTGGAGTTTGGTCTAGTTTTAACATCTTACAATAAAGATGGTGACTTAAAAAATACATTTGACTTCCAACAACATGGATTTGAACTTCAGCGTTCAGTCACGTGAGTTCTTTGTCTTTTGCCCCAGGCTTCCACGTACATGGATTCAGCCGAACAGCGGTGCCGAACCTGAGACTCAGGAGGTCAACGGTGAGTTATCTGCGGGTTTTCAGCTGTGTTGTGGCGACTGCCCCTAAGTTCCCATGTAAGCTGGCACACGGCCAGTTGTGCCAGCTGACATTGACATGACCCACAAGACGAGGCATATGGATGTGGTGGAGCGAAGACAGCTGTTGATTCTCTGCCCCCTCGCCTATGTGAAGCCGGACTCTCTTTCCCTCCACAGGGCAGCTCCAGTGACTTATTTTAACCATCAAAATAGAACAGATGTGAGAGTAGCTGCCTGACTTTGAACCTTGGTAGATTGAAGCTTCTGCCTTCGTCCTCGAGAAGGCTTGCTCTGGGGCTAGCCAGTCACTGTTAGACCCACCACGATGCTGCCACGCTGGGCGGAAACCAAGACATGTGAGACGGGGTGAGATCCTGCTAGACCCTTCCAGGGTAGCCCAAGCCCTGGCTGAACACAGCTGAGTGATCCCAGCTGATACCGTGTGGGGCAGAAGAAACATCTGGCAGAGCCCTGCCCAGTTTCCAGACCCAGAAGTTACACACTCCTGGTGTTTTCAGTCACCGCATTCAAGAATGGTTTGGCAGGAAGCAACAGTGTGTTGAACCATTTAACCTTTTACCCCAGAGGAAGAAACCATTCTTTTCTCCATTCTAAGGTGTGGAGACACCAGGAAATGGAAAAACTTGTTCTGGGTGACACAGCAAGTAGGAGACCCAGATTCAAGCCCAGGTGGCCTCATGCCAGGGCTTGTGCTTGTCACCCCTGTTCTAGGAGAGTGATGGCTCACCACACCTGAGGCCACTAGGAATACAAACACCAGGGTCAGGTAGAGGCCTAGTCAGACTCCTTTCTTTCACTCTTTCCACAGAAGTGGACTGAGCCCTCCTACCTAGGACACACAACAAGCGAGTTCTGCCCTCAAGGAGCTGACGTTCATTTGAAGTCAGTGTAAGAAAAACAGCCAAAGTGGGAGTAGGTGGCAACTGGGTGGTTAACTTTGTTTGCTGTTGTAAACAGCAAGGTCAGGGAGGGCTTCATGGAGGAGGTGAGATTTGAGCAGGGATTCAAAGAAGGCAAAAGGTCAAGATGCACAGCTCTCTGGGAGAGAGAGCCCCATGCAGAGGGAACAGCCAGCGCAAAGGTCAGTGTCTGCTGGCAACTCGTAAGCTAGGCGGTCGGGAAAGTTCGCAGAAGGCAGAACTGCCAATCACTAGAGAACCAGCGCTCTTTCTGTAGGGAAGTACCACTGTGAGTTGGTGTGTAACCTGCCAGATATTTTTCTTTAAAATATTGACATCTGTAGCTCACTCACTATCACTTTGAAATCTTTACAAAAACCACAGTGTGCTTGGCGTGCTGTTCCATCACCAGCTTTACAATGTTTATGCTGCATCTCTGGGGTCTTTCTACCGTAGCCGCAGAGATCTACAGTGTAGCTGAAATGTAGACTGTGGCTCAGTCTGTCAGGGCCACGTGCTGCCCCTACCCTGTTGTTTGCTGTGTGACCGGTGCCAAGTGATTTAACCCTTCTGAGCTTCGGTTTTTCCGCCTGTAAAAGTAACACCTGCCTTATGAGGATTTACTGAGTGTAAAACTCTTAGAGCAGTGTGGTCTGAGACGTGAGGAACATGTAGTAAAGGTTAACTAACGGTTCTTCTGCAGCATTCCTTTTGAAAAGTTTTTTTTTTTAGTTGTAATTGACATACAATACACCACACATATTTAAGGACTAGTCACACACACCCCCTTAACCATAGATGACGGGGTCGCAACAGGTTATGCCGTCACCCAGGTGTGGAGTGAACCAGGTGTGTGCAGTGACACTCGGTGACATTTTCACAAGTGTGTACCCCACCATGAAGTGGCATGTGACAGTATATAGTTTAACACATAGCCACATGTGCCTACATTCGTGAAGCCATCACCACCTCACATTTTCATCTCCCCTAGAAGTTTCCTTGTTCCCCTCGGTGAGCCGTACAATGTTAGCTAGTATAGCTGATCCTTGGACTTGGGGGTCGCAAATCCACGTGTAACTTATACTTCAATCAGGCGACATCGCTGAGTAACCGAGTCCATAAACACAGCCAGAGATAGGAAGGTGTCGAGACTAATGGAGCTTCTTGCTGCTTGCTAGGCAACCGCCCATCCGCTTTCTGTCTCTAGCTAACTCTGCATTTTCTGGGGTTTCTGTCTCTATAGCGAACTCTGCATTTTCTGGGGTTTCTGTCTCTATAGCAAACTCTGCATTTTCTGGGGTTTGAATGGAATCTTTTAGCATCTGTTCCTCTTACATAACAGTGATCTAAATTCTCATCAGCTGGGGACTCCTCCCAGCTCTACATACATTTTCCCCAAGCACCCTGCTTTCCTTGAGGAACCAAAACACCAAGTTCTGCTTTACTCCCCAAACACAGAATGTGTTTACTGCTCCTCAATGTATGTATTTTTATGATAAAATGCAGTTCTAAGCGCTCTACAAATATTGGCCCATCTAATCTCCAAGCTGATCTTTGTGGCAGGGACTACTGTATCGCACCCATTTTGCAGATGAAGAAATTGACATTTGGGGATAATCTGGCCAAGATCAGAGCGTTGGGATTTGGACTTAAATCCCAAAGTCCAAGTCCTTGGACTCCAAAGTCCTTAATCTCAAGCCTGCCTTGTGCTTCAAAGAGGTTGCAGAGTTAAGGACCTGGCTGTGAGCCAGGCCCCTAATTGCAGCCCCGCCCCAGTGGGTCAAAACTAAAACGACCTGAACTTCAGTGTCCCAGAGCAAAGGGCTGTGGTCCCTCCACTGCTCATCAGCTGAAACTGCTTACGTTGTCGTGGCTGAGCATCACGCCCTTGGGGTAGCCTGAGGTCCCGGAAGTGTAGATGACCACAGCGCACTGATTGGCTTTCTGGCTCTCCATGATCTGGTCCAGCTGGAAGTCAGGGATGCTGTTGCCGAGTTCCATGAAATCTTCCCACTGTGGACAGAAAAGACAAATGCAGGATGGGGACCCAGTGGTGTGGGGTGCCCCTCCGCTTGCCAGACAGGTCTTGTTCCATTGGCTTCTCCTAAAGCGTGATCCCCAGCTCGAGGACAGGCTTAGGCTGTTCTGATGCCCCTCAGACCAGCCCCGTGCCTGCTTCTGCTCCTCCATTTGCTGGGCGGGCTGCTGTCAGCCCCTGCATTCCCCTTTCTCATTTGTGAGTGATAGCCAGGGTCCAGCCACTTGGTTGTTCTAAACAGTAAATGAGTTTGTATACTTCAAGTGCTGAGAACAGCGGAGTTGGGCATTGTTTGTTCTCTGCACTCCCGATTCCTCTCCACACTCCAAACATCATAGTTAATAGATTGGTAGGGAGGCTTCTACCCAGTTTCAGAGTCCAACCCTGACAGGTTTAAGTCAGAGAAATCCATCTGGGGATTGTGTCATAGCTGGGCACGTGACTGAGGTGGTCCGATCACGGTGACACTCGGGCTGTCTGCTGAAAGTGCAGGGACAGGAATAAGCGCTCTGGCCATGCACGAGCCCAGCAGTAGCCCCAGGAAATGCCGACTATCTCAGAACCTTGGGGAAAACGAAGCTGAAGTGGAGCCAAGAGAGCAAGATGGAGCCTGCGTCATGGTGATCGAGCACTGGCCCAGCTAGGCCTGAACGCCATGCCTGGGTTGTGGTTGCACGAGTCATTTGGGATCAGGCTTTTGTCATCCTTACCAGTAATGGGCATGTGACTCTCCCAGCGACAGAGGAGGGCATGGAGGCTGCGGTGCTCAAGCGACACAGCAAGTGAGCAGAGAGGCCAAGATGGTGCCCCTCCAGCCACCGTTGAAATGCGCTGTCTTACAGGGAGTTGTTGGCTGTGGGAAACTGAGTACAGCATTGGACCTGCACAGTATGCCACTACTGAGCCCTCAAAGTTCTGGGCAACAATAACGCCCTGTCTTCAAGATGGCAGCGCCTCAAGTCCTCCATTTCGGCTCTGCATTGCGACACAGACAGTCGGCATCCCTGTCCTTTGTCTGAGAGATACTGCAACCTCCATCCCCCACCCCAAAACTCTCTTCTAACGCTTGTCCAGGACCTGGTCCCCCAGGAGTCACAAGTTACTAGATTGGGGTAGACTCTGGCCCCACGCCAGTCCACTCCAGTCCTCTCTGAGGCACTGTGATGTTGCTCCCAAGCCCCCTTGCAAGTATCACAACTGCCCCCCCCCCCAATTCTTGTCCAGTTTCTGAGACCCTTGTTCTCTCAGACCTAACAAATTCCTGAACAGAATCACTGGGGCTCCTTCCCCTGCAGAGAAGTGGATACTATTCCATGTCACCAAACTGTCCCCTCCAAATCCTTCTCCTCAGCCAAAAGTGACTGCGGTAGGGAGACTTGAGGCACTGTCTGTGGAGGCTGCTGTTGGCAGCGTAGGTGGGGGGCCCCTGCACCTGCCGTGAGTTTGGGTTCCTCGCAGCAAAGAATTATCGGAGCGGAAGGTCCAGAGTCAGCACCAGAGAAAGCCTGCCCTAAGCGCTGTTCCCCGGCACACAGGCCCTTTCACTCAGGGACTCCTGCAAACGCCGCCGCCTCTCCACAATTGCAACCAGTGCAGCGTGTCCACTGAGTAATTCGGTAGAAAACAGGCCTGTCTTAGAATTTCTTTAAAAAGAAAAAAATCTTTACATGGTCTTTAAATTCTACGTGAAACCATGAAAGAAGCAAATTCGGCCCTGGCCCGGTCCGCCAGCCCTGGGCCGGGAGCGCGGCCGCATCTGCTCCCCCAGGCGGTGGTCTGGGGGCGTCCTTCTGCGCCTCGCCCCGGGAAGCGGCCGTCCAGCTTCCCGCAAGAGCTGCTGCCTGGACGGCGCCTCTGGGGTGCGTGTGTGTGTGTGTGTGTGTGTGTGTGTGTGTGTGTG